GTCGCAGCGCAGACCACCGACTGCACCGAAGCCTGAGCCTGATCGTAGGACCGCAGAGCGGTCCCCTCTCCACACCTCACCACCACGTCTCTAGGCCTGTTGACGTCAGCTCCTCGCACCCGGTGCGCCACGTCCAGCTCTCAAGAAAAAATGACAAGGCAAAACACACAGATTGAAGAGACAGAGCCAGCGTCAGAACCAGGCACAGCAAGATGTGGGAACTATCACACGGGAATTTAAAGCAACTATGATTAACACGCTAAGGACTCTAATGGATAGAGTAGGCAGGATGCAGGAGCGCATGAGTGATGTGAGCAGAGATGGAAATCCTAAGAAAGAAGACAGAGCCCTGGCTGGCGTAGCTCAGTGGATTGAGCGAGGGCTGCAAACCAAAGTGTCGCAGGTTCGATTCCCAGTCAGGGCACATGCCTGGGTTGCAGGCCACGGCCCCCAGCAACCACACATCGATGTCTCTCTCTCTCTCCCCTCTCTAAAACTAAATAAATAAAATCTTAAAAAAAAAGAAAGAAGACAGAAGAAAAGCTAGCGGTAGGAGACACTGCGGCAGACACGGAGAATGCCTCTGAAGGGCTCATCAGCAGACTGGAGGCAGCGGAGCAAAGAACCTCCAAGCCAGAGGATCTGCCAACAGAATCCTCAAAAACAAAAGAAAAAGAGAACAAATATTTAAAAACAAAAAATCCCACGCAGAATATCCAAGGACGGTGGATATTCACTGCAAACGGTGTGACAGACACATAATGGGAACACCAGAAAGAGAAGAGATAGGAAGAAACAGAAAAACATTTGAAATGAAGCTACATTGTACTGAAAGTTCTAGCCTGTGCAACAATGTAACAAAACAAAGTCACACGGATTAGAAAGGAAGAAGCAAATTTGTTTTTATTCACAAATGACATGATTATCTATTTAGAAAATCCTAAGAAATGCACCAAACAAATCTACTAAAAACAGTAAGCTAGTTTAATGAGGTCACAAGATACAGTATTAATACATGAACAACAGTTATATTTCTATATAAGAGCAACAAACAATCTGAAAGTGAAATTTAAAAAATTCTGGCCCTGGCGGCCTGCAAACCAAAGGCTCGCTGGTTGGATTTCCAGTCAGGGCACATGTCTGGGCTGCAGTCCAGGTCCCCAGTGGTGGGGGTGGGGGTGCGTGCGAGAGGCAACCACACACTGATGTTTCTCTCCCTCTCTTTCTCCCTCGCTTCCCCTTCCTAAAAATAAATAATATCTAAAAAAGAAAAAAGTTCTGTACACAATTGCATCAAAACAGATAAAAAACTTAGGAATAAATACAACAAAGGGGTGTGTACAAAAAAGGGTTGATGCAGCAGGGTACGGCTTAGCCTGAAAGACTCGCCCACCAGGTTAGCCCTTGGCTAATATCTGGGAGCCTGACTTCAGGAGGGTGGCCACCAGTCCCAGGAGTGACCAGAGTGGTTCATTATGTCCACTGTTTGTACAAGCAATATGATTCATTCTCAGCATCTGCTTTCTTCCTGGTGTCTGGAAGTTTGGCAGGCACAAGCAGACAACCTCTCTGACCAGTGCTCTAACGGGTTGAATGGTGGTGACATCTACTCACAACCTGTGCATGTGACCTTCCTAATATCAAACTGTACTACAGAGCTGTAGTAATCAAAACAGCATGGTACTGGCATAAAAACAGACACAAGCTCAATGGAACAGAATAGAGAGCCCAGAAATAAGCCCGTGCCTTTACAGTCAATTAATATTAGACAGAGGAAGCAAGCACACCAATGGGCTAAAGACAGTTTACTCAGTAAATGGTATTGGGAAAATTGGACAGCTAAGTACAGAAAAAATTGAAACTAAACCACCTTCTTGTACCACACACAAGAATACATTCAAAATGGATTAAAGATTTAAATATTAGACTAGAAACCATAAAAATACTAGATGAAAGCTTAAGGGGGCAAAATCTCAGACACAGCTTGTAGCAATATTTTATCAGCTATATCTCCCTGGGACAAGAGAAACAAAAGGAAAGGTAAACAAATGGGACTACATCAAACTGAAAAGTTTTTGCACAGCAAGGGACAACAATGAAATACAAAGACAACCCACAGAATGGGAGAACATATTTGCCGATACATCTGATAAGGGGTTAATATCGAAAATTTATAAAGAAATTATAACACTGCACACCAAAACAAACAAAAACCTAATTAGAAAATGGGCAAAAGACCTGAATAGACACTTCTCCAAAGAGGACACACAGATGGCCAATAGGCATATGAAGAGATGCTCAACATCACTAATCATCAGAGAGATGCACATTAAAACCACAATGGGACGCCACCTCCCACGGGTCGGAATGGCCGTCATCAGTCCATCAGCAAACAGCGAGTGCTGGCGAGGATGTGGAGAGAGGGGACCTCCTTTCCACTGTCAGTGGGGATGAACGCAGACCGGGGCAGCCACTGTGGGGAGCAGTGTGGAAATACCTCAAAATACTAAAGACGGGTCTGCCTTTTCACCCGGCGACCCCACCTCTGGGAGTCTGTCCAGAGGGACCCACAACGCTATCTCAGCAGGACACCAGCCCCCCTGTGTTCGCTGCAGCGTTATTCACGCCTGTCGAACTGCAGAAGCAGCCCAGCGCCCACCAGCAGGTGAGCGGGTGAAACCACCGTGGGACATTTACAGAATGGAATACTACTCGGCTGCAAAAAAGAAGAAAAATGACCCCTTGCACTGGTATGGGTGGACCTGGAGAATATTCTGCTAAGTGAAACAAGCCAGTCCGAGAAAGACAAACACCATATGATCTCGCTCATCTGTGGAATCCAATGAACAAGCTGAACTCACAAGCAAAACAGACACAGACTCACAGATGGAGAGCAGATGACAGCCGAGGGTAGGGGGGAGGGGAAGGGGGAGGAGGGATGGAGCAGAAAGGAGAAAAGAGTCATGGACATGGATAACACTGTGGTGATTGCGGGAAGGGGGTTATAAGGGGACTTAAATGGTGATGGGACTTAAAAATACAATAAAAATAATTTTGAAAAAAAAAGGTCTTTGCAGATTATTGAAGATCTTGAGACAGAACATCCTGGGTCAGGTCCAATGACGAGTGTCCTAAGAAAAGGAGAGAAGACACAGAGAAGGGGTGTGGAGACAGACTCAGAGACCGGAGTGATACAGTGACCAGCCACGGTCCTCCAAGGGTGGTCAGCGCAACCACAGGTCAGCGGAGGGGCCTGGAGCGGAGCCTCTCTCAGAGCCTCCGGAAGGAGCCAACCTGCTGACTTCCGGATTTCGGACTTCTGGCCTCTGGAACTGTGTGAGAATAAGTGTCTGTTGTTTTAAGCCACCTAGTAGGAATCAATTTGTTACAGCACTTTTAGGAAAGAAACATGAGCTCCTGTTTGGCGACATTTCACAACCTTGTCCCAACTTTCCAGGACAACTGAGCACCTCCTGTGTGACTCCACTGAGTGAGAGGATCCTGGAAGGGGGTGCCTGGTCTCCCCCAAACTCTGCCCCTGGAGCCTTTCCCTTTTGTTGATTCTACTTTGTAGCCTTTTATTATAATAAATCATGGCCATGAGAATGCCTATGTGCCTAGTCCTGATGAGCCCTCGTAGCAGACCTGGGAATGGTCTTGCAATTCTCATGCAATGAAAATGACAAAGCATTGCTGAGAAAAATTAGAGGAGACCTAAAAAAAATAGAGACACATGCCATGTGTATGAATTAGAAGACAGTATTGCTAAGATCACAATTCTCCCCAAACGGACCAATACATTCAATGCAATACCTGGTAAAATTTCAGCAGGTCATCTTGCTTTGGTAGAAGCTAACAAGCTGATACAAAATGTATATAGAGCCTTGGCTGGTGTGGTTCAGGGGATCGAGCACCAGCCTGCAAACCAAAGGGTCACTGGTCCGATTCCCAGTCAGAGCATAAGCCTGGGTTGCAGACCAGGTCCCCAGCTGGGGGCACATGAGAGGCAACCACACATTGCTGTTTCTCTCCCTCTGTTTCTCTCTCCCTTCCTCTCTCTCTCTAAAAATAGGTAAATATTTTTAAAAATTTATGTAGAAATGCAAAGGATCAAGATACCCAAAACAATTTTGAAAAGGAAAAAGTTGGAGGGCTACACTTGATTTCAAAATATACTATACAGCTAAGACAATCCAGACAACACAGAACTGGCATAAAGACAGGCCTGCAAGTCAATGGAACACAACAGAGAAAAACTCTCACAAATATGATCAATAGATTTTTTAAAAAAGATTTTATTTATTTTTAGAGAGGGGAAGGGAGGGAGAAAGAGAGGGGGAGAAACATCCATGTGTGGTTGCCTCTCTTGCAACCACGCATGGTTATTTTTTAAAAACCCTTACTCAATTAAAATAAACAAAAGATTTAAATAAACATTTCAGCAAAGAAGATACTTACAAATGGAGTACGAGCACATGAAAGATGACCGACACCAGTGGTCATCAGGGAAACACTAAACTAACCCACAGGAGATACCACCACACACCCCCTGGAGACTAAAAGCAGAGACGGGAGGACGAGACCGAGTTCCTCTGAGGGTGTGCGGAAACCTCCTCCCGGCCGGTGGCAGTGTAACCTGGTGCATTCCCTTTGGAAAATAGTCTACCAGTTTGTTACAAGTTATGCATGAGCCTACACTTCCACTCTTAAGTATTTACCCAAGAGAAACGTGTGTCCACGCAAAGGCTTGCACACGAAATGTACGGAGCAGCTTCACGCATGAGAAGCAAAAACTGAAAACATTCCAAACGTTCATCCATTGGTGAATAGATCGAGAAAGGGTCAGCGTCGCAGACAGAGGAGTACCATTCATGAAAAGGAATGCACTGTCGATAGGGGTGACAACACGGATACACCAGACAGAAAAGGACCACACATTGCATGTCTTTCTTTTCTACTGGAACTGTAACAAATCACCACAAACTCGTGCGGTGGTTTAAGACAACACACGTTTATTTTCTTCCTACACTCCTCCCAGGCAGAGACCGGGAGCCAGTCTCCTGTGGCCACAGTCAAGGCGTTAGGGGAGCTGTTTCCTCGGCGGGCTCCAGGGGGCGCTCCGTGTCTTGGCGGGGTCCTGCGCTGGAGGCGACTGCATCCCTTGGCTCGGGGGCCCTGCCTCCGTCTTCAAAGCCAGCCGAGTGGTCCCGTTACCGAACAGCAACTGGCGACCCGCTGCCTGCCGCCGCCCTCTGGGTAAAATTCCACGGGCAGAGGTTTGGTGATAAAGGAAAAGAGTCTTTACTCACAAGCTGCACAATTTTGGAATAACAGCTTGCCACAGGCATCAGCCACTTAAGCCTATCAATTAAGCTTAAACTCTTTCTTTAGTCACAGCTTTAATCACTTAAACCCATTAATTAAGGCTTACCTTTTTAACACCTGAGCTCTCCTAGCATTCCCCGTTAGTTTCCATTATTTTATTCCCATAGGGTTAGTTTACACACTAAAACAACATAAGATACAAAAGCTACACAATTTTGGAAAAATGGCCAGCCTCTGCCCCAGAGCCCTTTCCCTCTAGAACACCCGAAGAATTAACCTGCCACCTCCGGCCAGGACCGCCCGACCCCATGCTGTGCTCAGGGTTCCTTACCATCCAAAATCCATCCAAATTACCCTCCGCTGAGAAACGCAGGCAGCTCCAGCAAGCTCCCCGGCCATCCTGGAGGGAGAAGAGCCACAGAGAGCCCTTCTTTTATTTCAGATCTTCTTGCCCATAATTCCATGTGCTCTGGAGGCAGGCGGTTTCCCAGCCAATCTGGTCCTGGGCTATTTACCATTTTCTCGGCAACCTCCTCCTGCAGCGCCTGCCTGCTTCTCCCTGGTGATCTGATCTGATTGGACCTCTCTGTACCTGCAGCCTCCAGTTTCTCTGTGATTTTGTCATCACGCGGATCACATGTCCTTCTCTGACTGCCATCCTTCTGCCTCACTCTGGAAAGGACCCTGAACATCCGGTCTTCCGGGCTAATCCAGGATAACCTCCCTATCTCGAGGTCCTTAATCACATGGGCAAAACCCCGTTTCCCTCCCGTCAGGTAGCACAGATTGACAGGTTCTAGGGATTAGAATGTGAACACCTTTGGGGGTAGTGATTCAGCCTCCTACATTGTACTTTCCATTTATAGACAAATGTTGAGAAAAGGCAGCCTAGAGACAGATCACAGGTCAGTAAATCCCAGGTCCGCCATTGCGAGGAGGGGTGGGCCACGCAGAGGCACAAAGGATCTTGGAGATTGCTGTAATTCGCTGGTTTTAAGAGGCACACTTTCCCCACAATTTAACACCTGAAATCAGAATACACCTTACAATTAATGGTATGAAGTATGCACATGAAAAAATGCTCAACACCATTATCAGGGAAATTCAAATGAAAACTGCAATTAGCTATCACTGCCCACCTACTGGACTGGCTAAAATTAAGGAGATTGGCAACAACAAATGTTGGCAAGGATGTGGAGCAAACAGAATTACATCGTTGTTGGTGGCAATAAAAAAATGTATGGTTGCTTTAAGGAAGTCTGGCAGTTTCTTTAAAAGGCTAAATATATTTCTTTATGACTATTGCTATGACTCAGCAATCCAGTTCCTAGGTGTTCACCCAAGAGAAATTAAAATGTAACTCCACAAAGAGTCTGTACAGGAGCCTTCACAGCAGTTCTGTTTCTCACAAACGAAAACCGGGCAGAGCTCCAGCATTCACTATGGGAGAACGAATAAGCAAACTGCAGTCTATTCACAACAACGTGGACAAGTCCACGGCAGTGGGAAGGGATGAACTCATGCAACACACTACAAAACGGATCTCAAAAACATTATGTGAGTGAGAGGTCAGATACGAAAGACTACCTATCGTATGGGTCCGTTTTTACGAAGTTCCAGAACAAGGTGACCCATGGTGCAAAGAATTGCAACAGTGGGGTGTGGGTGGGGAGACTGACTGGAAGGAGGCACGAGGGAGCTTTCCGGGGTGATGCTAATGTTCCATATCCCGCCGGTGCTTTGGGTTAATAGCCACACACATTTAAGATTCATGCCGTTCACCCTGGCCAGGTGGCTCCGTTGGATAGAGCATCGTTGGTTAGAGCATCGACCCCGTATGCAAAGGTTGCAGGTTGAATCCCCAGCGAGGGCAATGAACGCATAAATAAGTGTAACAACGAATTGATGATTCTTTCTCTCTCTCTCTAAAAATCAATAAACAAACATTTAAGAAAAGACTCATGCATTTCCAGATCATGGTAGCTCTCCTGCTAAGGTAAGTATTCATACATTTCAAATAGAGGAAAAAAAACAAAACATAGATTCATGCATTTCACTATGTTTTATCCCCCCCACCCACCAAAGAAACAAATGAAACGAAAAACAGCGGCAGTTAACGGTATACAGACTGAAGTATTTAAGGGTGAGAGCACTGATATCTGCAACTGGCTTTGGAGTTAATCGCTTAATTTAAAAATGAGTTGGCCCTGGCTGGTGTGGTTCAAAGGATTGAGTGTCAGCCTGCAAACCAAAGGGTCGCCAGTTCAATTCCCAGTGAGGGTACATGCCTGAGTTGCAGGCCAGGTCCCTGTGCTGGGCACGTGAGAGGCAACCACACACTGATGTTTCTCTCCCTCCTTCTCTTTCTCCTTCCCTTCCCCTCTCTCTAAAAAATAAAATATTTTAAAAATAAGCTGATTTGATGGATGGATAGGACAGATGTAGAGATAAGATATAAAATTGATATAACAAAGGATTAATTATTTATGTGGATTCCAGGTAGTAGGTAATGGATGGTTACTGTCTGGCTTACCTTTTCTGCATGTTTGCACATTTCATAATAGACTCTTGAAAACACTTGATTGCTCATCGCTGTTGTAACTGGTAGCAGTTTCTCTACCTTGATGATTTATAAAATAATGGTATCTTAAGTTCAGTGACACATGGAAATTACAAAGGAGAATAATTTTGTGGCTCCCCAGATAATCCAAGTCCTTCATTTCTCAGGCTCCCTTACAGTTACTTTGGGGCCGCATTGCTAGTTTTGGTCCATGGGCCTCTAAGTAGAAATGACGGATATACCACGTGTAGGCCAAGGAAATTAACAGCTAGAAGGCCTCGTTATCTCTCTCCCACTGCCCGTGACCGCAGGAGGCCCTGTGCTAGTGAAGCAGAGGCACCTGACTCTCCCATGGTCACGAACGGGGGTTGTCACTGCAGCCTAGCCCTGCCCGCCTAACGCTGGGGAGTGTGTGTGTGGGTGGGTGGGGCGGGGGGAGGAATCGGAGAGGGCTTTTACTTAAAAAAACAAAACAAAACAAAACACTAAAATATGTGGCATATCAGTTAAGTTACTGTCTCAGCTCCAAACTCGCCCTTATTTGCTCGGCGGTGACACCGGTGGGGCCACGCTCCTCCAGCGCGGAAACGGCGGAGGCTGCTCGCAGCGTGTTTCCCAGCCGCGTCCCGGCTGGCTTCAGCGGTCGCGCTGGGGACCGCGAACCAGGCATCTGGACCGGCACAGATACACTCGGGGACGCCGCCTAGGCGGTCGCACGCACCGAGGGCCAGGCCACGCGAGACAAGGGCGACCCCTGGGCAGCAGCGACCCCAGGCCTGTGCCCGCTCAGCAGGACCCGCGCCCGTGGGCGACCCCAGGGAGCGAGACTGGTAGAATGCGAAGTCAGGAACGACAGAACGCGGTGGTGAAAGCAGCAGAGCAAGATCCGCAATCACCGCCCCGACCCCAGCATGTTGCAACTCCGAGATCCCCCACCCTGGCCGGCCCAGAAGCCCCGCCTCCACGCTCTGGGCCGCCCTGGCCCGCTCGGCCCTTCTCGCTGGTGGGCTTGTCGCCTCTTCGGTGCACTACGCTTCTCCGGCCGTCAGGGGAGGGCGGGACCACGGGAGGGCCGCTCTAGCCCGCGACGGCCTCTCGACTGCTCCGCAGCGTGGTCCTTTGGCCCCCTAAGGTTGCCGCCCCCTGGCCGTTTCCCGGGCAACGCCTCCCGGCCGTTTCCCCCGGCAACGCGCGGCCGGCCGCGGCAGTCTCCGCCATGGACTCGCTGTCTAGCGCCGGGCCCCGCCGGCCTCGCGACCGCCTCGGGGTGAGGTCCTCCGGGTCGCGGGCTGCGGCAACGCCCTGGGCGCGCTTCTCGGCCTGGCTGGAGTGCGTGTGCGTGGTCACCTTCGACCTGGAGCTGGGCCAGGCGCTGGAGGTGAGCGGGCCAGGGGGGCGGGTCATCGCGCGCCTGCCCGCCCTCTGCGCGTGGGGGGAAGTCGGGCAGATATCTGGGTGTCCTGACCCTCCTCCGGAACCCTGCGCCTGTCGCCTCCTGAAAGGGGCGCTTTCCAGCAAAGGGACCAATGGCCGACTTCCCATTGGGATGGAGGAGGTAGGGGCCCTGCACTTTGGATACCCCTGACCTTTTGTCGAGGAAAATCTGTCTCATTTCCCCCTTCCCCACGTTAGCTGCGGCACCTTGTCCCCTTCGTTGCTGCAGCCAGAATCCCAGGGGTCACCCTGGACTTTCCCCTCCCACCACTCCACCTCTCCTCGGTGGGCAAGGCTGGCAGTTCCGCCGGCCAGGGATCATTCCCTCTGCTACCGACCCTCCTTTGTGGCCGCCCTGCTGGAAGCCTTCGGCCCCTCTTGGTTCACTTAGGCTCAGGTCCAGACCTGTGTGGGTGCCATTCCAGCCATACTGGCTGCCTTTCTCTTCACCAGCTGCACCCAGCTGGGGGGGTCTGGGGTGCCCCCACCCCCACCCCCAGAGGCAGCTTCTCTCCCTCCCAGTGTAGATGACAGTGTGGCGGGCTCAGGGAGGAGGCCTAACGCAGGGCTGTCAGGATGGTCTCTACGCCCTGAAAGTGGTGGCGTAGACCTCACCACACTGTCAGGGTCGTCCCGGGCGCTGCGGGGGCAGGGCCCGCTGAGGCCAGGGCTGGCCAAGCCAAGGCCACACAGCCATCCTGGGAGGCGGATGGGGGTGGGGGTTGTTTTGGTTCGAGGCCTTGCTGAACTCCACAAGCCGTCTTTGAGACAGAAGGGACTGACTCCTAATGAGGACTCGGGTCCTGGCCCCGTGGAGACCCCATCCGCCACCCCCACCCCCCACCTGGCGTGCAGTATTGTGACCGCCCCACCTGACCAAGGGGCCTGAGCAGAGAGCTGAGCTGAGCTGCCCCGTGTTGCAGAGCCCACCTTCTCACTGTTGCCCATTCTGTTCTCCACAAAATCACGAGAGAAGGCCCTGGCTGAACTGCTCAGTGGGTTGAGCGTCAGCCTGCAAACCAAAGGGTCACGAGTTCGATTCCTGGTGGGGGCACCTGCATGGGTTGTGGGGCCAGGTCCCCAGTAGGGGGCCCATGAGAAACAACTATACATTGATGTTTCTCTCCCTCTTTCTCCCTCCTTTCCCTTCTCTAAAAATAAAGAAATAAAATACCTGTAAAAAGATAAAATAAAATTAAGGGTTTTTTTAATCACAAGAGAAGTTAAGAGATTCTTTTGTTTCCTTGAGACATTCTCATGTATAACTTTCTAGGATGCAATCATCCAGAAAGCTAATTCTAAGCAAGTAGCCTTCATGGCGTGGGTCCTGTGTGCACCGGCTTCCGAGCTGTCGATGAGGCTCGGTCCAGGGAGGGGCCGTTGGGAACCAAGCGCCCTCCGGAATCGTCCGGTCTGTGCAGAGGCCCAGCCGCGGATCCACGGGGCAGTGCAGCTCACAGCGCCCCCCAGGTTTGCCTCATCTTTCCTCCCTCCCCCGGAAGTCCTGCCGAAGATCAAGGGGCGTTTGGGCTGGGCCCACACAGTTCAGGGAGCACCTGCCCTGGGCTCCCGTGGGCACAGCTCAGCCTTGCTGAGCCCTGCAACGGCCCCGGCACTGTGCGTGGCGCTGGGACACGGACGGAAGACCCAGGGGCCGCCATCCAGAAGCTCCATGAACAGAAGCAGCTCCGGGGAAGGAATGCGGTGTGGCCAGTCTTGGTGGATGGGAAAGAGGCAGCTGGGCCGTGGAGAGCAAGCTATTTCAGGGACCTGACCTGCACGGTCCCTGCCCACAAAACACCAGCCAAAGCAGAGGCAAGGAGCTGTCGTTCACCTGTTCTGTGAGTCAAGCTGGAGCAGCGGCCACCAGCCGGGCCCTGTGGTGCTGGTGCTGGACACGGGGACACGGAGCAAATGCGAAGACAATGCCGTGCTCTCCAGGAGTTCACACTCTGCGCCCGAGACACAGACGAGGGATTCAGGACCCCCCACCCCCCGGCGATGTGCGGGGTCCCGCATGGATGGCTGCACTGAGCCTGCGGGCGGCTCAGCTGAGAGAAGGGCCTGGCTCCGCCCTCTCTGCCCTCGGAAACTCTCTTCTCCGGGCCTCAGCCAGTCCGGGAGGCCCATGGGGCGAACTGTGCCCCGAGGCCCCAAAGACCCCTCTCCCACCACGGCGCTGATGTGGCTCTGGACCCCTTTCAGCCTTCGTGTCACTGAGGACCCCAGGGAGCTCTTTGTGAGGTCACGTCGACCCATGTTTACTAGCAATTAAAACAAAAATGTTTAATATTTATTAATCCAAAAGAAACATACCCCATGAGTTAATATAAATATTAATATTTTCATGAAAACAACCATATTTTGCAAAATGAAATTTGTGAGCATCGTTTGACTCTTTTACAAGCCTTTCAATATCTGACCAAATAGCAAGCAGCTGGACCTTCACCTCAGCTCCTGCAGCCAGTGCCCCACGACCGTCTGTCTCTCCCGCAGGGCCGAGCGGGTGCAGGGGCAGCACCCTGTGCGGGCTGGCTCGGCGAGGCCTGCCTGGGGCCGGGCGCTGTCACCCCGTGGCACAGCCTCGGTCTCTGCCACTCTCAGAGGGCCCACCGCACTTCTTCCCCCACCGGGGCATGGTCCGGCTGGGCCAGCCCCACTCCGGCCTCTGCTTCCGGGACAGGATGCACCAGCCCCTGCATGTGGGTCCCCACCCCTGCTCTCGTGGGGTTCCTGGCATGGACATGGAGTCTGCAGGTCCTGGGGGCCTGCTCAGAGGCCGAGGGCCTCCCGGGGGTGCCAGACCAGGTTCAGACTGCGGACCTCAGTGCAGAGGGTCCACCACAGCTTCGCTGCCCACCAGGCCCCCGCCTCTCCCAGGCAACACGGGGACCTGTCCTGTGGCCCCTCCCACTCACGGAGCCACCCCCCAGGCCCGCCTCTGTGGCACCCTCTGCCCCCTCCCTCGGGGCCCTTCCTCCTCGGCGCCTCCTTAGCTGATATCTCCCGGAGGTCTCCACGTGATGCCCCTTCCTGTCGTGACTCGCGGATGCGCTGTCCCCCTGGGCGAGTGCACATCTGGGGATGTCTGCTCCCGGCCAGGGGCTGGGGGACAAGAGCGCCCCGGGTGCAGTGCCGGTCCTCGGGACAGGAGCAGGAGGGGACCACAGGCGCAGCCCCGAGCAAACGCCGACAAGGTGTGGCGTCACTGCCGCAGCGGGCGTTCCAGGGCACAGCGCCTCGCCCTGCGCAGGGGCCCGGGGCGCGCCCCGGAAGAAGCCTGGTTTCAGCCAAAACCTGACTCCTGCTCAGGGCAGGACTTGGGCAGATGCAGGGAGCTGGGGGCTCGGGGTGCTGGCCCTGGGAGCCTGGCCCACACAGGCTCCCTGCCCAGCCACTTCCTGGAGTGGGGTCCAGGGTTTCTGCACGCAGGCCACAGCCACCCTGGAGCCCAGGGCACAGCAGCCCCCAGTCTGGGCGAGCAGCCTGGAGGGCAAGGGGGGCAGGAAGGGAGTCAGGGAGCTCCCCCAGGTGTGTGCTGGCCAAGGCAAGGGGAGTCTGGAGCAGCCTCGTGCTGGTGGGGGGGGGGCCTGGGGCGCCAAAGGTGGAGGAGGGCAGCAGGGTCTGCCCAGGGACGATGTGCTCTAGGAGGGGCCGGAGCGGAGAGGAGCACACCTGCGGCCCAGCCCCGCGGCCGCCTGGCCTCACTGAGTGCTCTGTGTCCCCACAGCTGGTGTATCCCGGCGACTTCCGGCTCACGGATAAGGAGGTGGGTCCCGCGGCCCGGGGAGCAGACCTCACCCAGGAGAAAGCCAGCCCTCACCGGGTCTCGTGTGTTTCAGAAAAGCAGCATCTGCTACCTGTCCTTCCCTGACTCCCACTCCGGTAGGGTGCTCCTACTCTCCCCCTCTGGGGCCGGGGCCGGGCGGGGATGGGGAGAGGAAGACGGTGGGGCGGTGGGGCAGGCTGTCCTGGGGCCCCTGGGGCCCAGGCCCCACCCCCGCTCGGTGGAGACACCCAGAGCCCCACGATGCAGCAGAGGCAGCCGGGTTCCCCTTGTTTGTGTGGAAGAGGGACCGGCAGGGTCTGGGCTGCTCGACCCCGCCACTGTGGCCCCCTGGAGCTGTCTCTGCTCCTCCCAGGGCCGCAGGTTCTGGGCAGGCTCAGGCTGCCACACCTCGGGCCCCCAGCTGCCCGCCTGTGCTTGGACGGTGGGCAGCTGCTGGTGCGTCTGCGTTGGGACTTCACTCTGAGATGAAGTGAAGGGGTGCAGGGGCGAGGACACAGGGGCTCCCACCGGGAGGACAGGGCCCGGCACCGGGGTTCTCTCTGGGGCCTCCATAGCCCATCGGAAGCCAGACTCACAGGGTCCTTGCCCGTCGCTGCGTCCCCACCATGCACAGGGGCAGGAGGGGCTCCAGCCCTGACGGCGAGTGGCGGGGGCTGCCTCCCTCCCCAGGCTGCCTCGGAGACACGCAGTTCAGCTTCCGAATCCGTCAGTGCGGAGGGCAGAGGAGCCCCTGGCGCGCCGACGACGGGCGCTATGACAGTGAGGCCCCCGTGACGCTGCAGGTGCGTGCGGGCTGCCTCTGCCGCCGGCAGCCGGGGACAGGCTGGTGGGGCGGTTCTTCCCAGGTGCCGGGGCCCCACGTGGCAGGAGAGGCACTGGCCAGCCCCAGCCCCCTCCTGGCACAGGGGTGGGCCTGCTCTCCTGGGGACTCCCCGGGGTCCCTGGTGCTCTTTCCGTGTACCACGCAGGCAGCAGGGTGTGGCTGGGTGTGCAGAGGCCTGCGGGAGCCCTCGGGGGCTTCTGGCCCGGGCCACTCCCCACGGTGCCTGGGAGGTGCTCCCTGGAGAGGTGGTGCCCACTGTCGGAGCCCAGGACGCCCAGGCTTGAGCCCACGACCCCACAACCGGTGGGGTCCGTGGGTGGGGCAGCCGCTGCAGAGCGGGCGGTCTGGGAGGCGGGGGTGGGGGAGTGGCACAGGGAGAGCGGGTGCAGCCTGGCTGACTGCCTCTTCCAGAGGGAATCGGCGCACTACTTCGGCTACGTGTACTTCCGGCAGGTGAAGGACAGCTCCGTGAAGAGGGGCTACTTCCAGAAGGTGAGCCACCTGGTCCCTCTGGGGCGGCACCTCTGAGAGGAGGGGCCGGTGGCCATGGAGGGGCTGAGGGGCTGGGGTCCCGAGCCTCCAGGAGCACCCCTCCTGCAGCCAGTTGGTACCAGGGGAGCGCACTCCCCTGGGCCCCATGGGCCACCTGACCTGGGCCGCGGGCGGGTGGTGGGGCTGCCCCGGCGCCCAGCTCTCGCTGCAGCCCCTCTGGTGTGTGGGTCCCACTGCCCCTTCCTTGCCCAGCACGGCACCCATGGCCTTTGTGTCCTGGGCCCCGGACACCCCTCCTTCTCACTGCTGGCCAGAGGGGGCCTGGTCACTCTTCCAGGATTAGGCAACTTCAGCCTTGAACTCAGACTCTCAAAGCAAAAGCTGCTTAATTGCCAGGAGGTCACCCCAGACGTCCTGGCCACGAGCATTTCCCTCTGACAGCCAGGGTCCAGCCCTCCCTGGTGTCACTGGGGCCCTCTCCTGTCTGGGGTCCTGAGGTCTGCGTGGGGCCGTCCTGGGCACAGTTGTCCTATGTAGTTGGGTGGGCTCTGCATGAGCCAGGCCTCAGGGGTCCCTGCAGACTCCTGAGGGGCTGGGTGACCTCTCTCCGGCCCCACGGGCCCTGCAGTCTCTGGTGCTGGTGTCCCGTCTGCCCTTCGTCCGGCTGTTCCAGGCACTGCTGAGCCTGGTGGCCCCCGAGTTCTTTGACAAGCTGGCACCCTGCCTGGAAGCAGGTGAGTGGCCGCCAGAGAGGCCTCATCGTCGGCCGCAGAGCCCAGCGGCTGCGGCTGCAGGCCCCTGACGCCAACCGCCTGCGCCCGCAGTGTGTAACGAGATCGACCAGTGGCCGGCCCCCGTGCCCGGGCAGACCCTGAACCTCCCTGTCGTGGGAGTCGTCCTGCAGGTGAGGGTTGGCCAGCTGGGGCAGGAGGCTCCGAGGGCACGGCGGTGCCCACTGGTGACCGGCAGCTGCCCCCTCCGTCCACAGGTGCACATCCCATCCAGGGCGGACAAGCCGGAGTCCAGTCCTCTGACGCAGTGTGGCCAAGAGGTGGGGGCCCCTCCTGGGTCAGTGGCACGGCACCTGCATCAACCCTGCCACCTGTCTGGGCCTCCCCACCCACCTGCCGGGGGCCCGCTGGGGTGGCCAGACACCAGCCAGACCCAGGGGCTCGTGTGTGGGTGCAGGGCTGGGAACGTCCCCTCCTGTGCCTCGGGGGTGGGGATGTGGAGCTGCGGGGACAGGGGCTGCCGTCCCTGGGGTGAGGGGGCTGCTTGGGGCGTGGCAGCCTCGCCCTCAGCCTGACGCCGCCACCCCCCCCCCCGCAGAACCTGCTGCCAGCGCCACTGGTCCTCACCAGTGTCCACGAGCTGGACCTGCTCAGGTGAGCCCTGTGGGCTGCTGCTTGCTGCCCACATAGACCCTGGGGGAGCCCACAAGGCTCGGGCCTGGGCAGGGTCGGGAGCTCCCGGGACACTGCCTACCGGACACTCACCCCGGGCCAGTTCTGCCCCGGAAAAGTCCAGAAGAGGAACCCAGAGCCTGGTGTCTGCGCTGCGAGGAAATGGGCGCAGCGGGCAGGGAGGTGCCGGCAGGCGGGCGTGAGGGGGAGGGCTGTGTCGGGGGGCACTCACTGCCTGAGGCTGCCCCTCTGCGGGCGACTCTTGGAGGGAGCCAGGCTGGAGACCGGGCTGGGCCCCGCGGGAGCCAGGGCAGCCGGCTCAGGCTGGGGCGCAGGGCCAGGCCAACCTGGGTGGACTGTCCGTGTCGGTGGACTCTGTGCACCCTCCGCATCTGGGAGCCCTGTTCCCATCGGGGCAGTGCATTCTCCTGCGCCCTGGGGAGGAGCCTCCGCCCCGCCCAGCCGCCCTGAACCCCCAACCTCCCCTGCCCGGCCCAGGTGCTTGCAGCCGGTGCTCACCCACGTGCAGACGCTGTGGGAGCTCATGCTCCTCGGGGAGCCCCTGGTGGTGCTGGCGCCCTCGCCGGCCGTGTCCTCGGAGATGGTGCTGGCCTTGACCAGGTAGGCCGCTGGGTGGGCGGAGCGTCAGCGGGGGCGGGGCCTGCCCTGCTGAGCTCACCGGCCTGCTGCCTGCTTCACCCGCCCCCGCAGCTGCCTGCAGCCCCTCAGGTTCTGCTGCGACTACCGCCCCTACTTTACCATCCACGACAGCGAGTTCAAGGAGTTCACCACGCGCACGCAGGCCCCGTAAGTGCCCTGTCCCCTCTGCCCCTCCCCCGCCGGCTGCCAACTGAGCCGCCACGGCCCCCTCTCTCTCCTCGCTCTCCTCTCTCTAGACCCAACGTGGTCCTGGGAGTCACAAACCCTTTCTTTATCAAGACGCTCCAGCACTGGCCCCACATCCTCCGCGTCGGGGAGCCCAAGATGTCAGGTGAGGCTGGCCCGGCCCCTGCTCCGCGGTCCTGGGGGGGCGGGACAGGGCGGGCCGCTCAGGCCCACCCTGGTCCGAGCTGCCGGCACTGAGGCCTGCCCCCCAGTGTTTCCTGTTTTGTAGGGGGTCTTCCTAAACAGGTCAAGCTGAAAAAGCCCTCGAGGCTGAAGACCCTCGACACCAAACCAGGTGTGGGCCTCTCCAGGACCCAGGCGGGGGCTCTGCATCCTGGGGGATGGGGGGCCGGGATTCTCTGCGGGAGTAGCGGAGGGGGCGGGCTGTGGCGGTGTGGGAGGGGCCCCAGGACCGCAGCCCCGCCCTTCCACCAGGCCTGTACACCGAGTACACCGCGCACCTGCGCCGCGACAAGGCGCTGCTCAAGCGGCTGCTCAAGGGCCTGCAGAAGAAGCGGCCGGCAGGGGTGCTGACCACGCTGCTGCGGCGGCACCTCCTGGAGCTCACGCAGAGCTTCATCATTCCGCTGGTGAGGCCCAGGGCAGGGGCAGGGGCAGGGGCGCTGGGGCTGAGGCCCCTGGGCCGAGGCCCCGGGCTCACTCCCCTCCCCGCCCCAGGAGCACTACGTGGCCAGCCTCATGCCCCTGCAGAAGAGCATCACGCCCTGGAAGGTGGGTGTCCGGTCCGGGTGGGGCCATGGGGGAGGGGCCGGGCGGGCGGGCTGCAGTCCCAGTTCTAGAGGCGGGAAGGTCTGGGAGGGGAGACTGGGCCCCAGTCCCCGCACCGAGCGGACCTCCCTTACAGCGCGGAGAAGGGGGGGGCACGGAGGGACTGTCTCCAGCAGGGAGGCGGCCCAGGCGCGGGCCTGGGACGTGTCCAGGGCCTGGGACACACACAGGCCTGTGAGGCTGCACCTGCCTGGGCACCAGGGCTCACCTGGCCGCTGTCTCAGACTCCTCCCCAGATCCGCCCCTTCCACCAGGACGACTTCCTGTGCAGCCTGGAGCATGCTGGGCCCCAGCTCACCTGCATCCTCAAGGGTGACTGGCTGGGCCTCTACAGGTGGGTGGACCCCAGTGGGGGGCCTGAGGCTCCTGCTGCTGTGGGTGCAGGGTGCCCGTGCCCACCCAGCGGCGCACAGAGTCGGCCCCACCCACAGCCATGGCCCCTCATCACCCACAGGCGGTTCTTCAAGTCCCCCCACTTTGATGGCTGGTACCGGCAGCGGCGCAGAGAGATGGCCCGCAAGCTGGAGGCCCTGCACCTGGAGGCCATCTGTGAGGCGGTAAGGAGGGCTGTGGCCGAGGGGAGCCTGGGGCTGGGGGCCTCGGTGACGGGTGGCCCCATCTTCCCGAGGCAGAACGTCGAGACCTGGATGCAGGGCAAGTCAGAGGTGGAGGTCGTGGACCTGGTCCTCAAGCTGCGGGAGAAGCTGGTGAGAGGCTCCCGTCCTGCCCCGCCAGGGCCCGGGGTGCGCACGGGCCGCCCACCCCTGACCAGCCCTGCCCCTGCAGGTGCGGGCCCGGGGCCACCAGCTGCCTGTGAAGGAGGAGACGCTGCAGCGGGCCCGGCTGCGCATCGAGGCCGCCGTCCGCTCCCTGCCCCAGGACCTGCAGGCCGTCCTGTGCCCGCCCTAGGTCGGGCCCAGCCCTAGGTCGGGGTGAGCCCTGGGACGGGGCCTCTCTGCCCCCCCGGGGGGGCCTGGGACTGGCCCGGTGTGGGGAGGGGCGGCCCCGCATCAGGCATGAGCTCCCCCATCCGGGCCCCCTGCCCCGCAGCACCACTTTGCACCCCAAAGCACCGCTTTGTCCCCGCAGTAAAGGTGGCACTTGGAACGACAGCCTAGCCTCTGACTGGTGGCGGGCCCTCTGTTGGCCAGAACCTCACCTCCCCCGGAGCCCCAGCTGCCCTCTGCAGGGCTGCAGGCTGGGGGGGCGGGGCTGGCTGCGAGCCCTTGCTGTTCTGGGCCTGGGGCCACCGCCCCCTCCAGGCACCCATCTGCCCGAGCCCAGCAGGTCCCCAGACGCTGCGTTTGATGTGTCCTTGAGCCCCATCAGGCCGCCGGGCTCAGGAGAGGGAGAGGCAGCCGACCAGCAGACTGCCCCCCTCACACTGCAGCTGGGGTAGTCCCTGACTGGCTGGGCTTGGGAGGGTGAGGAGCTCGGCCATGTGGTTCCTGGGGAGGCCACCAGGGGGCAGTGTGGGGCCCGGCCATCAGGGTCCCCCACCCTCGGGGGCCTTGTCCCAGGTCCCATCCCCGGAGCACCCCACGGAGGGACTGTTGCATCTGCCCCTGGTGACACTTGAGCCCTCCCTGCCCCCCCCACCCCCCAGCCAGGGCCCTCCACAGCCGAGGCAGCCTCTGGCACCGAGCTCTCAGAGGGGGGTCCACTCCCCAGCCAGGCCCCCAGCTGCCGCAGCACTGTCAGGACTCAGCACCCAGTGGCCAGTGGGAGGGCGGGTGTGAGGCACGGACCCAGAGGTGTGGGCCTTCAGGTCTGCCGCCTCCCAGCCCCCCACCCTCAGGCCCCTCACTAGAGGGGGCGCTGGGCCTCGCGCTGTAGCAGGTGCTCGCAGAGTGAGGGGTGGGCACGGCCGGGTAGGCACTGGGTCGCTTCTGAAGCCCCACTCCGCCCAGGCCTGGGGGTGGGGGGAGAGCGCTCCCCGCCCCTCCGCCCCCCGCCCCGGGGCCGGATGGTCTCAGAGCCTCCCCTGCCAGCCTGCCTGGCCCTGCCCTCCGCCCAGGACGGCCTGTCACGGGCCCCACTCCACAGAGCACAGCAGAGGCAGCAAACGCACGTTTGCAGAGGGAACGGGCTGGAGGCCCCGCAGCGAGAGGGGTCCCCCGTTGGCCCTGAGTGCCACTCTCGGGGCCTGCCCCCGGCTGTGTGCTCTGGAGGGGGGGGGGGCGCTTGCCACACAGTCTGCAAGGACACCGGACTGTCCTCAGGGCTGGTGGGCTCTCCGACCCCCACAGGAAAGGGCTGAGGGGACTGTGAGGCCCTACTGTCAGCTGCCCTCACTCAGCTAGTCCTGACCCCTAACCCCTAACCTCAAACCTAACTCCACTGGCTGGAGGCGGTGCCAGTCCTGGGCCCGGCCCCTCACTATAACCCACTGTGGGGGGGTGGGGAGGCCACCCAGGGGAGAGGAAGGGGCAGCTGGGCCAGAAGCAGCAAACCTGCCCCTAGCAGAGCCCTGGGGACAGAAGGGCCCAGATGGGCAGAAGCCGGGTGACTTCCCCGGGGTGGCCAGTGCTGGTGGGCCCACCGTGGCCTCCTGAGGCTGGAGGGCCTGGGGGGGGGTGGGGCAGAGACGCAGCCGGTCGCCCTGGGGACAGGAAGGACAGTTCACCCCCAAGCTTCCTGCGCTCTATTTAAAGATTCCTTTAGTCTGGGATACTGGCCTTCCCACATGTTTGGTAGTAAAATGTCCTGTGACCACAACGCTTGTCTCAACTTCCTTTTTTGATAAAAGCTGGCATCCCTGTGAGATACTGGAAGTGTTGGGGGGCCTTGTGGTGGGTGCTGGGTGGGCCGGTGTGGGTGAGGTTCAGGGCTGAAGGCGGGCAGGGCTGGCTGGCTGGCTGGCTGGGGCGGGAGGGCAGCCTCCTGGCCTACATGCTTCCTCCGGGGGCAGGTCTGGGGTGGGGAGCACCCTGGGAGGAGGAGATAGATGCCTGGGGGGGGGGGGAGCGGGCGGGAGGAAGCAGACTGACTGCAAAGGGGACAAGTCTGGGTGGAGGGAGGGCCCCCGAGGAGGGGAGGGGGTGTCCAGTGCGGGGTGCGGGTTAGGGTTTGGGGAATGGTGCCGATCTTCCCCCCTGGGCCCAGCTGCTGCCACCTGTCCTGTCCTGTCCTGAGACGGCCAGCCAGGAGCCAGCAGGAGCGGGCAGGGCCCCCACCTCCTCTCAAGCCCAGGAGGCCCCAGGCCAGAAGCAGGGCCAGCTCAAGCGCAGAGCTCACAGCCCCGGGGCTCACCACCTTCCTCCGGGCGCTGAAAGACCCGCTGGTGGGGCCCGGGGCGTCCCCGGGGGCCCAAAGCGGGCGGGCAGCCGGGAGCCACAGGTTCGTCTGCCAGGAGACTCACGGGCGCTGCCTTCCCCGGGAGCTTGGGGTGCTGAGGCTCCCGGGAACGGTTAAGGCCCGGAAGCCGCCATCCGGGAAAGGGCAGGGTGTGGCTGGCCTACTCCCAGGCGGAGGGCTGGGGTGCTCGGAGAGAACCGCGAGGGCACCCGGGCCCGCCTCTGGCCCCGCGCGCTCCCGCAGCGCCGAGGACTGGGCTCCCCTGTGACCCCGGGCGCGCCCGGCGTGTGGGTCGGGCCGACGGGCGTCGCTGCCTGACGCGAACCTGGGCCCGAACCGGCCCGAACCTGCCTGGTGCTGCGACGCCCCACTGGGGTCCGGGGCGCGAGGGGCGCGCAGGGCGCTACCAGCCGGCCGCCCCTCCTTCCCCCGCCCTCGCCCCGCCCGCCCCCCGTTGGGGGCGGGGCCGCTGCTCCCGCGCGCTCCGGCCCCTCCTCGGCCACACAAAGGCCCGTCTCCATGGCAGCCGCGCGGGCCGGAGCGCAGCGCCGATCGCGGCCCGGGCGCCATCGAGCCTTGGCGGAGGACGTGCAGGTACCGAGATCCCGGTTCGGGGCCCGCGGGGCGGACGCGCTGGGCTGGGGGCTTCGCCATCGGCGCTGCTGCGCCCTGCCTGCTGCGCTCGGGGCGCGGGGACGCGGGGCAGCTGCACTCTGCCCAGGGTACCTCGGGCCTCGGCCCCGTCCATGTGCCCGATCGGCTGGGACGGGCCGCTCCCGACCCACTGTCTTCCGGGGCGAGGGCTGCGGTGCCGGGGGGAGCGGGTCTGGCTGAGCCGAGGGTCCCCAGGGACCCCTCCCGCCGCCTGTGTCTCTCCAGAGCGTCTTGCTCCCGCTCTGATTTCCTAGGCTCCCTCCCCGCCCATGCCCCCTCTCCGGCCGCCGAGATCCGAGATCCTTGCCCAGGGCAGAGGTCGCCCCGGTGGTGCCTGAGCTCACGCACCCACCCACCCAGCCGCGGTTTCGGGGTGGCCAAGCCCGGCTTCTCCCAGGGGCCGGCCCTGTCGGCGGGCCGGGCAGCCCCCGCGCTCCCTGGGACTTTCTGCGAGGAGGGCTCGGGCTGGGCCTGTCCAGGCTGGAAAGTGGCGCAGGGCTCGGGGCTGGGACTAGGGGCGCCGGGGCCCTGGGCCTGCTTCTTCCCGGGGCCTGGTTGGACAGTTCCTGTTGTGTTTTGTTGGTGTGGTGCGTGGGTGGACCCCCTGCGACCCAGGAAGGACTGGGCAGTGCTTGGGCCCCGCGCCTCTGACTGCCTCTGGAAGGAAGCTCTCTCAGGCAGGCCCTCCCCACCCCTCTGTGCTCAGGCTGTGCGGCTGGTTTGGGGGTCCCTGGCCTCAAGGGCCCGAGCTTCCTGCCAGCGGACTCCTCTTCCTAGCAACTTGGAAAAGGAGTGAAGGGTCCCTCTGGGCCCACCGTGGCTCCTGGTGGGGTTCAGGACTGAGGGCGAGGCTGGGCCTGAAAGCTGGTGGAATGTTCTGGGGCTCCAGAGGCTCTCTGGAGAGGTCCCCTCTCCTGTCTGACCTCAGCCCCTGCACTCCCAGAGGTGGGGGGGCGGTCTCAGCCCACCCCTGTGCCCAGATGTCACCCCCAGTTTGGAGGAGGAGCCTTCGGAAGGTCTGAGAGTTGGACAGAGGGTGGGACGGTCCCGGGAGGGTGAGGTCTGCCTGGGACAGGCCGGCCTGCTGGGTCTTTCGGGGGCAGCTTTGAGGAATTCCCAGAGAAGACTGAGCACAGGCAGGTGGGCCCAGCCAATCTGAGCCCCCCACCCCCTCCCCCCGTGCTTACTGGGGGCCCCGTCTGAGGGTGGGGGGGCGCCCGGGGTCTGACCAGGGGTTCCTCGCCACAGAAGGGGAGGGAAGTTACTGAGAAAAACAGGGTTTGGCATTCGAGTCACCCTCCCCCACCGGCCGCCTGCCAAGAAGGAATTATTTTGGATTATCCAGCCGTGTCCAGCCACCCAAGGGGGGGCGGGGGGCTGCAGCCTGGGAGAGAGGGACCCACTTCCGGGGCCGTGGGGTGAGCGCCTCAGGAGGAAGAGGGGCGAGTCTGGGCAGCTCCCCCCTTCCCCCAGGCCCTCCCAAGCTGCTCAGCCGGTCGGAGGCGGGGCGGGGTGGGAGGGGATGCGTCACCCTCGGGTTGGAGAAAGCCCAAGGTTGGCCCCGGTAGGCCTGTGGAGCCAGCCTGGGGGGGCCTGGGGGGCAGAAGGAGCCCTGGGTCTTACCCAAGGGGACAGCGGGAGGACCCCCTCCGTCCGCAGAGGCCCCGGGGCCGTGGCCTTGAGCTGGGCTCAGGGCCACGCCTGTGGTGGGTTCCTCACACCCTGTGCTTCCCAGAGATGACAGGGAGCAGGTACGGCGTGACTGAGGCCGCCTGGGGTGGGGCGCCGGGGTCTCCCGTGGGCACCGGAGCTCAGGCCACCCACCTGCCCCTGGCTGACCCGCCCACCTGGCCGGCAGCTGACGTGCGCAGCCTCCCTCCAAGCTGCTCTGCCCACCCAGCTCTCGCCCCTCGCGCGGCCCACCTCGGACGTGGGGCCTCCCCGCCGGTCCCACAGCCGAGGGTACCGAGACCATTAATGCGTCTCTGCCGACTGGGCTCCCTGGGTCCCCGTAGCCCTGTAGGGACCCCTCGGGAGAGTCAGAGCAAAAAGCTGGGCCGGGTGCAGGGAGCCCAGGGGCCTGGCCCCGGCCCAGGCCAGTGGAGCAGAAGAGATGGGATTGGAAGGCACTGGGGCGGGCTGGCAGCCTGGCGAGGGTCCGTATGGCACAGGCCCCCTCCCCCAGGAGCCGCTCCGGGACCCAGGCCATCCTGGAGGCATCAGGGGGTCCTGTTCCCTACCCGGCCAGTGGTCCCCAGGGACGTAGGTGAGGCTGGGGGTGCCCTGACGGCGGGGGGGGGGACCGAGGCGCCAGGCCCTCTACCACCAGGGCTGTCCTCCCGCGAGCAGGAGGCTCTAGTTCGCGTCCTGCCTCAGTCCTTCTTGCTGGAGCACCAGGCCCCTGGCCTCCTGGGCTGGGAGGGAGCGAGCCTGTCTTCCCTGTGGAGCCGCCTTGGACTAGTGCCAGGAGAGCTGGGGGGCCCGTTGTGAGGGGCTGGGGAGGGGGGAGCTGTCCTCCAGGCCTGGCCCAGCAAAGCCAGAGCGCCTCCTCCCAGCCTCAACTGCCTCTGTGAGGTGCAGGCAGGTTCAGGGCGAGCAGGTTGAGTCACTCTCGGGAGGTGGGGGCCGGACAGAGTCCCTCTCCCCGAGGTTAATGGCTATTTGTGTTTGGGGTGGGGCCTCCAACTACTTGTCTTTGGTCTGAAACCCGGGTTTGGGGGAGGTAGGACCCGTGGCCTGTCTTTGGCTGTGGGGGGCAGCGGGGGTGGCACCTCGCCTTCCCTTTTCTCTCCAGCTCTTCCCCTTGGTGGTTTCACATCCTAGACAGGCTCCTGCTTCGCTCCCGCCTCCCACCCCGGCGGCGGGGGGCGGGGGGGTTGTTGAGGCAAGAACCCAGCCACCAGCCACATCCTGGGCTCACCGCCGGCTGTCCCACACCTCGCCACACCTCTGCGGCACCCAGAGGGCCGGCCACCTCTGTGGCTCTGCCCCAGGGCCCACCCGAGTGGGGTCGGCATTGCTCTGCTCCTCACCAGCCCCGTGGCCTTGGCCAGGCTTGGCGGCCAGGCTGCTCAGAGGACACCTGCCCGTCGGCTGCGGCCCGGGTGTGACCCCACAGGCTGGCCTGGGGCTGGGATTTCTGCCTACCCTCCCTGTCACCCTCTCTCCACCCTTTGCACACGGAGATGGCTCGCCGACCACTGCCCTCCCTCCACCCCCCGCCGGGGCTTCTGCCCACCTCGGCGCCTGGGACCCAGTGGGCCGGGCCGGGCTGGGAGCAGGGCGTCAGGGCGTCAGGGCCCAGCTCGGCGCCCACGGCCTCTCCTCCTCCCCTGAGACTGTGCGGCTCCTGAAGGCTCCCCATCTGGGTGCCAGATGGGTCCTGGCCCAGGCGGGGCCGAGGGCCTTGGCGACCGGAGGGCAGGGGGCCTTTGGGGAGCCGTCCAGCTTCTGCCCCAGCTCTGCCGTCAGCCCCGCCCCCGACGTTTCACTCCTGGGCGTGGATGCCGGACTCCTGGGTGCCACCCCCAGTCCCCTCGGCGGTTCCCACGGGAGCTCGGGGCCGAGAGGCCCGGTGGCAAGCAGATCTCTGCCGCAGCTGGGCCCCCCCTCAGGAAGAGCAAGGGAGCGGAAAAGGGTTTGATGTCGGCCTTGCAGGAGGCACCTGTGTCAACAGAGCGGTCAGACTGGCGCGGCTGCTCCCCGGCGGGGATGCCGCCGGCTGGCTGGCCGGCCTGCCGGCCTTCCGCTCCGGCCTGGGGGCTGGGGCCTTGCGAGGGGTACCTCCTCCAGACACCCTGCTGGGCTGCCCGTGGCTGAGGCTGTCCAGAGGCCACGGCAGGAGCACTCTGGCCATGTGGGTGACCGGGGGCAGGGATGACTGGCTTGGTGCCCACCTGGGGCTGGGGCTGTGCTCACCTGGGTCTTTGAGTACTGGACAAGGGGTGCTGGGTGGGGCCTGGAAACAGCCCCAGCCCTGAGAGGCCAGGGACCATGGCTGTGTCTTGTGGTGCAAGGGGCCTGGGGCAGTGGTGGGGCAGAGGCCATGGGTGGTGCTTGGCAGTGCAGGCCGAGCTCGAGGAGGTGGGCATGAGGCTCCAGCCCTTGTGGGTTCTAATCCCCCACCCCACCCCACGGTGTGTTCAGAATGGGGCCCGGGACACTGCAAGGCCAGGCTGGCGCCCTCTGCAGGGAGGGGGAGGAGGGGAGAACAGTGTTCAGCCCAGCCAGGGGGCTGGTGCGGGGGGGGGGGTGCTGTGGGTGGAGGGGCCCCAGCTTGGCCCCCCTGCTCCCCCTCAGCCCTGCAGAGGCTCCCCACCCTGGCCAGGGGACTTGGGGGGCGTGGCCTTCCCTATCCATCTTGGCATCCGGCCTGATTTAGGGGGCTGCCCTCAGGCACCTGAGGACCCAGGAGAGGATGTCAGGGTTGGGGGTGGGAAGCCCCGGGGCGGGACCTGGGGGAGACCCAGGCAGGCCCATCTCCCCAGCCCGGCAGGTGCTCCCTGGAGGTGGCCTCTGGCCGCACCCCTGGGTGTGGCAGCTCCTCGCTCAGCTGAGTGGCCCACTGCATGGGGACGGGGGAGGGCCTGACCCCAGGGAGCGGGGGCTCCTTCCCGGGTGCACCATGGGAAGGCGGGGTGCCCACCTCCTCCCATGCAATCCGGGGCTCTCTTCTTCTACCACAACCCGCCAGGGGCCCACCTCCCTCCGAGCTGGGGCATTTCCTCACTGGGAAGCCCTAGCCTCTGCGCTCCCCAAGTGTGGGTCCCTGACCGCTGTCCCACCAGCCAGGACTCCAGGCCCTGCCCTGCACCCCAAGCACCATGTACCTCACCGGGCACCCAGCCTCCTCCGGCAGGGAGACTGGCACCGTCCCGGGCGCCTCTCTCTCTGCCCCCGCCGTTCCCACAGCGGGCCCCTCCCTCCAGGCCAGCTCCCAGCACCCTTGGGTCAGGTTGGGGCGCCTGGGCATCTGGGCTGACCCAGCACCGGGGCTGCACAAACGCCTCCCGCCCACAGCCTCCCACAGCTCAAGCACCTGGGTCTGGGGTGCTCCCCTCGGCTCCCTGCCCTGGGGACACTCTCGGGGTGTGGGCAGGGCCCCCACTGCCATCACAGGCCCCTGTGCCTGCACATGTGTGGTCACGAGGGTGTGAGTGGGGGCTGGCATGCCAGTTTGGCACAGCGCCCCAGGCTAATTGTGGGGTTCGGCTGTGATGGAGGAGGCAGGGCCGGGGTGACCGCCGAGGCGCTGACAGCCTGATGGGGAGATTACAGGCCTCGCGTGCTCCCCACTCGCGCACGCCCTTCACCGCCGGCCCCTCACGCCCACCCCCACCGCCTGCACAGGGCCCAGGAAGGGGGCTTCAGGCGGGGGCTGGTTCTGGGCCAGCTGCAGCCACCGGAGCCTCAGGCTGCCTGGCAAGCAGCGTCCAGCCAGCTGGGAGGTGAGCCTGAGAAGGAGGAGACCTGTGTAGGCGGCTCAGAGGCGGGGTGGGGGCCCTTGGGCAGGGAGGCAGACACCTGGGGCCCGTGCCTGTCGTGGACCCCCAGTTGCCCGCGGGACTGCCCCCAGACTCTCCCAGCTCGCCTGTGGACTGCCTCTTCCCCAGCGGTGGCCTGGCCGGAGGGGACCTTGGGTCACGCTGCGGACAGCCTGCAGTGCCCCCTCCTCCCCGCGCCGGCCCCAGCCCAAGCCTGGCCCCTTCCAACCTCTGACTCCCTCCTCCTGTCCCCGTCAAACAGGACTGGGGGGGTGTCTCGAGGTCATGTGCACACCTGCCTCAGGGCCAGCCCCGTCCTCTCAGCCTTGCCGTGTGCGGGCCCGGCAGGAGCTGCCGCCGCGGGTGCCCAGGCCCCTCCGGCCGCTGGGGCCCCGCAGGGGCTCTCGGACACCGGACACCAGAGGGCGGCACTCCTCTCCCTGGCTGGGGCACAGCGCCTTGGGTGGCACGCAGGAAGTGCTGAGGAAGCTTTGGGCCCGGCGGACGGGTCAGGTCACCAGGCCCGTTTCGTGCTCCTCGTGCTCAGGGGGAAGTCGCAGGGGGCACTGAACTGCCAGACGTTCCCGTCCAGGGGAGGGCCTCCCGGAGGAGGCCCACGGGGTGGGGCTGGGGTGGGGAGACCAAGGAGGGGGCCCCACACTGTGTCCGGGTGGGACGCGATGGAGGCAGGGCCGGTGAGGAGAGAGGTGGGCCTCCAGCACGGCTGGCGGGGGCAGGCGTCGGGGCCGGGGGGATCTACCTTGTCCTGGGTGGGCGGGGCGCATGGGGTTACTCTTGAGTGACTGAACAATGTGCTAAGACCGTGTTCCAGGCTTTTCTGGGCCGCCCTTGCCAGCAGTTAGGCAGCGACGGGGACCAGAGAGTGGCCCAGTGGCTAGCAGCGAGTCCCAGGCTGGGTGGTCACAGTCGTCACTGCGGCAGCGGTTGTCACAGAGACAAGGAGGGCCAGCACGCGCCCTCTGGAGACACCTGAGGGCGGGAGCTAGATGCAAACCTCCTCGCTGGCGGGACCTCAGGGCTGGGAGGGGCGGGGCTTTCTGGCCCTTGTTGCTGAGCCCGCGGCGGGGGCCTGGGGGGCGGGGGGCGGGTCTCCGGGCATGCTCCCCGTGGCCTCTGGTGTCCAGCCTGGGACCTTCTCACTGCCACCCGCTTGGGGCGACTCTTCCTGCTGGAACCCAGAGCCTGGACGGCAGGGGAGAGCTGGCCAGCCCTCCCCAGCCCAGGCTGGGCTGGAGCGAGCACCCGGCCCCAGAAGCCGGGGCTGGTGGGAGGGGGCGGTGACACTCGACACCTGGGAGGGGTCCTGGGGGAGGCTCGGGTGGCGCGGGCGCGAGGCACGGGCTAGACGTCAGAGTGTCCCCGGAGCCCCGCCCAGCCCCACCCGGCTCCTAGGTGGTGTGGTTCGGGGAGACCTTGGCCTTCCTCGGGTGAGTCAGGTCGCTGGCGCACGCAGCCCGGGGTTGTGGGTCCTGCAGGCGGCGGCTGGGGCCGAAGTCGCGCGGGATTGGCCGGCAGCGGAGGGCCGAGCCCCGGGGCTGACCCCGGGGCCAGGGGCGGAGTCGAGAGGCCTAGCGCAGGTAATGGCTGTCGGGCGCTCGGCCGCGCCAGACTGCAGGTGAGCGCTGTGCGGGGCCGGTGCCGTGCGCGCACGTGGCCGCTGCGCCGTCCTCCTTAGTGGAGGTCCGGCGCGTCCGGGGTCGCGAGTGAGGCTCGCGCGGCGGCCACGTGCTCCCCTCCCAGTGTGCGGCCGGGCGGGGGCGGCGCCCCGAGAGCCACCGCGGCCCCGGGTCGCTCCCCGGGGAGTCTGGTGGCGCCGGCGCCGGGAGGGGCTCTGCCACCCGGCCTGGCGGGAACCGGCGCGCAGGACCGGCCTCCCTGGCGGGGGCGGCTTCCGGCGCCGAACTGCGACCCGGGCCACGACCCCAGCCGCGCAGATAGCCCCCCCTCCCCCCCCCCGCCACCCGGCGCTGGTCTGGAAAACAGCCGAGGCCCGAGGTGGCGGCGCTGGGCTGTTTCGTCTCCTCTGATTTGTGTTGCGCTCGCGGCTCATTGCAGATCCGCGTTTTCGTCGCGGGAACGGAGGCCGGGTCCCCAGGCCGCCAGCTGCCCCGCGGGGGAGGGGCGGCCTCCGCTTCCCTGTGGGCCCTGCCGCCGAGGCCAGGTGGCCCCGGGCCGGCCCGGTGAGGGCCGGGCCCCGCCCTTCTTGTCCCGCTTGGCCCCCTCGCCCCTCCCCCGCGCGCAGGTCGTCGGTGGCCGCCACAGCGCTGGGAACGCCCCCAAACACACACAGCGCGGAGTGGGGGGGTGCTGTAGCTGCCCTCACGGGCACCTGCGCCTGCCTGGCCCGGCCGATACCTGTCCGCAGGTCCCGAGTCCCCCCCGCGGCCTCTGGCTGCCCCTGCCGGAGCCCTGCTTCCCCTGGCCTGCTGCTCTCCCTTGCTCTGGTTTTTGTGCTCAGAAGTCGCTCCCTCCGTGTTTGCTTGAACACAGTGGCACCGAGAGACCCCCAACTGCAGCCTGCACCCCAGAGCCGTCCTCCGGGTGCGGGAAGACCTGGGGAAGGGGGCGGTGGACAGCCTACAGCCTTGGCCCCGGGTCTGGAGTGAGGACTCTGCCCTTCCTCGCTGGGCACCTCCGTGTAGCCTCGCCTGTTGGGGTGGGGGCAGAGCCCCCCTGTTCCAGGGGCCTGGCCGCCGCTGCTCAGAGGAAGGTGGGACCTGAGGAGGGAGCCACGGCGGAGCCGGTGGGGGCTCCTACTGGTCCCCAGGGGGACAGGGCTGTGGAGGAGAGGCCCCGCCCCCCAGTGCTCTGGCTGGGGGGCCAGACCGCACTGTGTGGGTGGAGTCTGGGGCCCAGCTGCAGGGGGCCCACAGCTCTTGATTCCCTCCCCTACGCGTCACCCCTGCTGGTTCTCCGGGTTCGGACCCACAGAGGCTGGGTCCTGAGCTCAGACCTTGCTCACGGAGGGCCCGTCCGTGAGGACCAGAGGCCGTGAAGGACAAGTGACCGCGCACAGGGCCCACGGGGCGAGAGTCCGAGGGCTCTGGGGCTGGGGTGGGAGTTTCCCGGGGGCACAGTGAAGGCCGAGACATGGCGCTCGGATGTCCGCACACGGGGTCCCTCGGGCTGCCACTGACCCTGGTCGCGCACGGGGAGACCGGGGCAGGGCGTCGTAGCCTTGCCCATGAACCCAGGGAGGAAAGGACAGAGCCGGGGTTTGAACCCCGTAGCCTGGCTGTGACCTCTGCTCTGAGGCCGCTGCGTGCAGCCCAGGTAGGGGTGTGGGGGGCTGTGGGGGGAGACCGAGGCCGGCTCCTGGCAGAGGGCGGAGACAGCCGGGAGCGCTGGGGCGGGACGGGGTGGCTGAGAGCCGGCCCCCCGAGTTAGGGCGGCCCCAGGACTCGGGGCCCAGGAGCGCTGGGGGCCAGGCTCGTTCTGGGGGAAGCGTGGCCTGGAGGAGCTCGGGGCTGCGGGGCTGAGCGGTGGGCCCGGCCCCGGGTGGGGGTGGGTGGGCATGGGAGGGCTCTGGGTGACGTCCTTTGGAAGAGACCAGCTTCCCTCGGCCTTGCCTGCCGCGGACACACCACCAAGGCCATGGGCCAGTGGAGGGCTGGGGGCAAGTGGGGGGCTGAAGGAGGCTGAGGGAGTTGCAGGCGCAGGGGCACGCGGAAGGGGGGCGACCCGACCTCCCCTGTAGAGTGGCGGGTGTGCGCCCCGGGCCCTGTCGCCGTGGGCTGTGCCCTTGACCGAGCTCCGCCTCCACCTGCTCCTGCCTCAGCCCCAGGCCAGGCAGGCCCCACTCTCCGACCCAGCAGCACCCTGCGGTCTGGCCCCTGATTGCCTGGGAGCGGCCTCTGCTCCTTTCACAAAGGCCGCTTTGAGCAGGACACCTCTCGGCCTCCACTCCCCTCCGGGGGTCTCTCCTGGGTCCCTCTGTCCAGGTTAACCCCTTCCTGCTCAGCCAGGGGCTGAGGAAACCGGAAGGATTTCCTGCCACAGGGAAGTGCTGCTGTCGCCGCCCTCCTGGGGCCCTGTGGCCCCCGGGACCCACCGTGGATCCCGTCCTGCTCCCCGGGGTGTGGGTGGAGGGCGGCCATGTTGGGGAGTGTAGGCCGGTGGGGGCTGGGCCTGGTGGGGGAGGTGGCACCCCATTGGGGTTCGTGGCTGAGCCTGGACGTGGGGGGCTGCCACCGGCCAGGGGAGTCCCGCGGGGGCGTGGTCCTCGAGAGCCCGGAAGGTAAAGTAGAGCCGGGGGGGACGGGGAACACTTCTCTTTTTACTTAGTCAAGTAATGCATGAATAAATTATAAAAACTTTCAGAAAGTGGCAAATGAAGTTGCTTTGCTGCCCTAGCCCCTCCTCCCCCCTGCCCCTTGGGCTTTACCGCTGTTTTCTGTCTGGAGGAAGGGAGCCTCTCGAACAGCTCAGCAGTTAACCCCGGGTGCCCACATAGACACCTGTGGGCACACCTAGAGTCCTGGGCCACAGCCATGCTGGGCGCCCTGGAGGTCAGCGTGGACCACCCACCTGCGTCAGGTCCTGGCTTGGAGGCTGGGTAGTTGCCAGATTTTCAGTGTAATAAACTACGCTGAAAAGTATCCTTGGACGGGTCCTCCCTGCGGGTATCCTGGGGTGTTTATCCAGGAGAGGATACAATAGCAAGCATTGCCCAGTGCTACAGTGTAACAAGCTCTCCAGAGGCTTTTCCTGAATGAATCATTCAGTCCTTACACACCCCTGGGGGAGCTCACTGTGACTGTCTCCATTTCACAGATGGGGACATGAGGCACAGAGACGTTAAGTAATTTGCCCAAGATCACACAGCTAGTAAGTAGAACTGCAGGGGACACGGGTGTGCACGTTTTTTTTTAAAAAAGCCATTTTATTTTAATCTGAGTGATACATGTGCCTACTTTTAGAAGGCGGAAAGTGACAATAGACTTGTAATAATAGCACACGGTTCCTTCCCCTTTTTTTCTGCCTTTTTGAGCAGAGGAGAGAAAGCAGTGTCGGGCTTGCCTTCTGGAGTTGGGGTGTGTGCCCCCCGGTGGGGTGCCGGTCGAGGGGCACGGAATAGGCAGAGGAGGCTGAGGGTCTTCTGCCTCGGGGTGGCAGGGGCCACTGGGGTCCCCGGGACCACTCCCCGTCCCCGACATGGGGCGGAGGAGACAGGTGGAAGCAGGCCAGGCTTGTGGTGAGACCGCTGCCTCTCCTTTGCTTCCTAGAGGATTTTGATGCCGGCGGCGGGGAGCAGAGCCTGAGCTGGACCGCCAGAGCGTGGTGAGTGGGGGCCGGGCCCCACCTGGGGACGGCAGCGGGCGCCGCAGCTGCTCAGGGCGGCCGGAGGTGCCTTTCCCCGGCTGTGAGGTGTCGGGGCGCTGGCCCTGCCAGGACCCGTGTGGGCATGCCTGCTCCCCAACCCGAGGGCCGGGGCCCGCAGGTTCCTGAGCCAGGTTTCGCTTGGGTGGAGGGTTCCGCAGGGAGACGGGGCGGCGTTTGGGCGCCGGAGTGCTAGGTTCTGGGACATCAGGGCCGGGAATTTGGGCTCGGTGGGAAGGGGCGCCCGTCCAGACGCTTTCTGGGCCAGCCGCGGGCCGGAGTCAGTGTGACTTCTGGGAAGCGCACCTCCGGACTCCAGCCAGGAAGGGCCTCTGGTGCCCCCGAGGAAATCCCCACTGCCCGCTGCCGGGGAAGCAGAGGTCCCGCCACCTTCGACGTAGGAAGCGCCCATATTCCAGGAACTCCAGCGGCAGGAAGCCTGGCTGGCAGGTCACCCTTTGCTCCTGGGCCGGCCGGGCAGGTCACTTGAAGCTTTGTTTGTTCAGGAAGTGGAGGAGAGCCGCTGCCCCCACCCCCACCCCCCTGTCCGAGCCCCTCCTGCCAACCCGAGGGGCCTGGGCTCCCCCGGCAGGGGGGGTGGAGACGCCCGCTGCCCTCGGCCTGAAGCCCGAAGGGTCCCTGGGGCAGGGAGCCCGGCTTCGCCCCTGCCTGCTGCCCCGGGAGGGGAGGGGCTGGGCGGTGGCTTGGCATCTGGGCCAGCTCCTTGGCCGCACGGGAGGTGCTCGCGGAGCACGCGGGGTCGCCAGTCCTGGGGCCTTGGTCGAGTGGACCATTAACCGGAGAGAGTCCTCAGCGTCCTCTCCACACAGTGGGGCAGCGGCGCTGTGGGCCGGCGAGGCTGGGGCGGGCCCTGGGCCAGAGCTGAGAGCTTTCCCAGAAGGTGGGTGCCCCCCGGGCCCCCCAACGGGTGGCTCCGGGTTCGCACGCTGGCCGGGACCCGCAGAGGGAGCTTGGGAGCTCCAGACGCCTGGGGGGGGGGGCTGGGTTCTGGCTGGCCTGGCTCCGCCCCACCCCCTGCCCCGCCCCTGCCGCCAGGGCTCCCTCCCAGGCCAGGGAACATTCCATTCATTCCCGGCTCCCTGGGCCAGAACCGCAGCCGGCAGCCAAGCGGGCAGGGTCACCGCTGTGACGGGGGCACTTGGGTGAGTGGGGCCGGGCAGGGAGGGCCAGCCCAGTCTAAAGGCCGGGGGACCTGGCGGCACCTCGCCGCCCAGTGGACTTTGGACCCAGGCGAGCACGTGAGGGAGGCAGGGCCTTCCCTTCCCCGGGAGGGCCCACGGCGTGACGGCCGGCTGGTGCCCCAGAGTCCAGGGCCGCTCCCGGTCTCCCGGTTCTGCGCAGAGTCTGAGTCACGGGCCTCCCTGCCCCAGTCTCGGGGAATCTCCCCAACCGCGCCCCCCTCCACCCTCTGGACAGGCAGCCAGACCCAGGCAGCGTCCGCAGTGGTAGCAGGGACCGGTCATCGGTGACCGGTAGAAGGCCCGGCCATCCCGCCGACACAGCCCTGAGGGGCTCGCGACGTTGTCCTGACCGAGCACAGCCACCGTCGCCTCCCTGCCCGGGCCCCTCCTCTGACGGCCCCCCTTTGGGGGCCCCCTTCTCCTCTCCCCGCCCAGCCTCTGCCTGCGGGCCGTCAGGGGCTCCTCCCCAGGTCCCTGCCCTGTCCCCTCCTGGACCACCCTCCTGCTCGCCGGGGGTCCTCGCCCAGTGGTGGGGCAGGAGGTGGCAGCTGCCCGGCTGCGGGGCTGCCCGGCGGCCCAAGCGAAGAAGGAAGTTGTGACTTGCTGCGAGGTGCAGGGTCTGCTCCAGCGGCCACAGTCCCCAGCCAGTGCCCCAGGGAAACCTCCGGGCCGCAGAGCGCTCCCAGAGGCGATGGGTGGACGCGGGCAGGGGACAGCGCCGCCCAAGGGCAGTGGAAGAGCGATTGTTCCTGGAGGGAAGGAGAGAGCCCGGGGGTGCTGTCTGAGGTGGCCGCAGGGGGTGCACTAGCTACTCTGGAGGTGCAGGCTGGGCCGTGCTGGCCCCTCCTTACCCTCCGCTGAGCGAGCTCACGGCATGTGCGGGGCAGCCCTAGGTGTCAGGCCTGGCTTCCCGGGGCTGGTGCTAGCTCCAGGAGAGGGTAGCCCGTGGGGGCAGCAGGGGGCGCTGGCGCGGAGGTTCTGGCCAGGACAGCACACGGGGTCCTGAGCGTGAGGGCGTGTGGGGCTGCCCCCAGGTGGAAGAGGCCAGGGGCAGGGTGGCCCTGCCTGCGCTGGGGGGAGAGGTGCGCTCTGGGGCCGCCTGTGGGGCCTTGGGTCCGCCCTCCAACTCGGGGAGCCTGAGGCCAGCCTGGGCCTCAGCAGTCCATCCCTCACGTGCGGACACGCGTGGGGGCCTGAATACACGCAGGGGGACGGTGCTCAGGCAGACACCCGCACACCGTCTCGCCCTGCCCGCCCTGCAGGTGGCGCCCCCACCACGGTCTCCGGGGTCTTCGGGGTCTTCGGTCTTAGGCCTTGTGGATTCAGCCGCTCCCAGTGGACCCTGGCTGGGTCATCAGGGGGAGGGGGTCCGGGAGGCAGGGCCGGGCTGTGGCCAAGCGGCTCCAGCGGGCGTGTCTGAGAGGCATGAGCTTCAGCTCCCTTTAGGCTGCAGCTCCGGTCTGCTTGCTGCCAGGTGGCACCCTGTGCCCGAGAGTCAGGTGCAGGGCGGGCGTGCGGTCCACCTGTGTGCGTGTCCACGGCTGCCGGTCAGCCTGGCCCTCTGGTAGGGCTTACACTCTGGAGATGGTGCCCCTCGGACCACCTGGAGCTCCTGGGGGTCACGGGGCGTGGGGGTGTGCCCAGGAGACCTCTGGAGGCAGAGGCCGGGACACCGTCCCCTGGGGCGGCTGCAGCTGCACCTGCAGCGAGCAGCTGCGGGGGCCGGGCCCCAGTCACGGGGCAGCCTCCCCGGCGGGCTTCTTGCGAAGGGCTGGGGGTGGTCTCCTTGAAGATGGGGGGGTGTCTGGCCGCTCGTGGGAGGTGGGGACGGGCCTGGGCACACAGGGCACGCTGGGCAGCTGTGCGCCTCCCTGGCCGGCATTCTGGTCATGCAGGTAGGGTCCAGAAGGGGGGCCCGCCGGGCTGGGCCTCTCTGACCCGCCCCTCTCCCCACAGGGGGCCGGGGACGATGGCAGTGCGGCTCTGGGCCCTGGCCCTGCTGGGCCTGGCGGGCGCGGGCCTGCAGTCCCCCCGGAAGCTGGACTTCTTCCGCAGCGAGACGGACCTGAACCACCTGGCCGTGAATGAGACGTCGGGCACGGTGTACCTGGGGGCCGTGAACGCGCTCTACCAGCTGAGCGCCGCCCTGCAGCTGGAGCAGCAGGTGGCCACGGGCCCGGCCCTGGACCACAAGAAGTGCACCCCGCCCATCGAGCACAGCCAGTGCCACGAGGCCGAGCTGACCGACAACGTCAACCAGCTGCTGCTGCTGGACCCGCTGCGGGGGCGCCTCATCGAGTGCGGCAGCCTCTTCAAGGGCATCTGCGCCCTGCGCTCCCCGGGCAACATCTCCGTGCGCCTCCACTACGAGGACAGCAGCGGCGAGCGCTCCTTCGTGGCCAGCAACGACGAGGGCGTGGCCACGGTGGGGCTGGTGAGCGCCCCGCAGCCCGGCCGCGAGCCCCTGCTGTTCGTGGGCAAAGGCAACGGGCCGTTCGACAACGGCGTCATCGTGAGCACCCGCCTGCTGGACCGGGCCGGCGGCCGGGAGCCCTTCGAGGCCTACAGCGACCAGGCCACCTACAAGGCCGGGTACATGTCCAGCAACACCCAGCAGTTCGTGGCCGCCTTCGAGGACGGCCTCTACGTCTTCTTCGTCTTCAACCAGCACGACAAGCACCCGCCGCAGAACCGCACGCTGGTGGCCCGCATGTGCAAGGACGACTCCTACTACTACTCCTACCTGGAGATGGACCTGCGGTGCCTGGACCCCGGGGACGGCGACGGCCCGGCCGCCGCCTTCAGCACCTGCCTGGCGGCCTCGGTGGCCACGTCGGGCGCCGGCAGGGTGCTCTACGCCGTCTTCACCAGGGACGAGCAGAAAGGCGGGGGGCCTCGTGCGGGCCTCTGCCTGTTCCCGCTGGCCCAGGTCAACGCCCAGATGCAGGCCAACCGCAACGCGTGCTACACGGGCCACGCCAAGGCCGGCCACGACACCTTCTACAAGCCCTTCCACGGCGACATCCAGTGTGGCGGCCACGGCCCGGTACGTGGCCCCGGCGGCTCCCGCGAGGGCGCGTCCCAGCCCTTGCCGGCGTGGGAGGGGTGCCCGTGGGCGGGGTCTCCGAGGTGGGGTCGGCACGCGCAGGCAGGGCCCCTGTTCTCGGGGACCTGCGCAGGGCCACGAAAGCGCTGGGAGCCCTGGTGGGGAGAGGCCTCGGCAGGATGGGGGTGTCTGTGCCCGCTCTTGACGCCATGGTCCGCAGGACGCCAGCCAGAGCTTCCTGTGCGGCTCAGAGCACCTGCCCTACCCCCTGGGCAGCCGGGAGGGCCTCACCGCCACGGCCGTGCTGCAGCGCCGAGGCCTGAACCTGACGGCCGTGACCGTGACCGCCGAGAACGGCCACACCATCGCCTTCCTGGGCACCTCCGACGGCCAGGTCCTCAAGGTGAGGCCCGGGGCGGGGGCGGGCCGGGGGCCGGAGGGGCTGCCCTCGCGCGAACGCCCGCCTCACACCGCCGCCGCCGGCAGGTGTACCTGGCGCCGGACGGCAGCTTCGTGGAGTACGGCTCCATCCCCGTGGAGATCAACAAGAGGATCAAGCAGGACCTGGTGCTGTCTGCAGACCAGGCCAGTCTGTACGCCATGACGCAGGACAAGGTGGGGCTCGGGGCCCGAGAGGGGCGGCCTGCTGGCCGGGCCACTGCGACGGGCCTGGGGGTGCAGGCGGGGACCGGGAGGGGCCCACACTCCTCTCCTTGGGGTCCTGGCAGCGTCTCCGTCCCCGTCACTGGCCCCTGCCCTGTCCATGCCGTGTCTCTGGTCCCGCCCCAGCCCCGCCCTGGTGGGAGCGACGGGGCAGGGCTCTGAGCGGGCTTCCCCAACAGTGGGCAGAGCGGCTCGGGCCCCCTGCAGCCCCTGTGAGCTTGACCAGTGGGGACACAGGGCGGCCTATCAGGGGCTGCTCAGGAGAACTGCAGCACCCAAGGGTCCCTCCCAGGGATTGGGGTTGGAGGGCCTGGGCTCGGGGTGGCGGGACCCTGCACACCATGGCTTCCTGGGATCCGGCACCGTGCGTCCCGGGCAGAGGCAGTCACCGGGCCAGGGCCACATGGATCCCTCATTGGCCTTTAATAAAGGCTTCAAGATACGGATGGGGGTGAAGCCGGTGGCCCCAGGAAAATCCGGGGCCTGAGGGCGTCCCCGGGGCTGTGGCCCTACTCACTGCCCCGCTGTCCCCAGGCCTTCCGGCTTCCCGTGCAGGAGTGTCTGAGCTACGAAAACTGCACCCAGTGCCTCGGCTCCCAGGACCCCTACTGCGGCTGGTGCATCGTGGAGGGCCGGTGAGCGCCATGGCCGGGGTCCCGGCCCACCCTGGGGACTCGGGGAGGGGGGGCCCTGTCCCGGGGTGGGCAGGTGCCAGGGCTGAGGCTGCCCCCGCCCCTGCAGGTGCACCAGGAGAGCCGAGTGCTCGCGGGCTGACGAGAGCGGACACTGGCTGTGGAGCCGCGGGGAGGCCTGCGTGACCGTTACTGGGGCCCGCCCCCAGAACATGAGCTGGTGGGCCCGGGGCGAGGTGCGTGGCTGGCTGTGGCGGGGCGCAGGGCAGAGCCGGGCTGGGGCCCCAGCTCCTGGGGCGGGCGGGAGACCCCCACAGCATCTGGGTGCTGAGCCTGAGGCCGGGGAGCCCCCCAGCCCCTGTGTGCCCTGTCCTGGGAAGGTGGGGGCAACAGGGCCAGGTCCTGGGGTCCCCCACCTCTGGGGGCCGGCCTGCACGCCCGCAGGGCCCTGCCGGAGAAGCCGTCACGGGGCGGGTGCTGGTCTCCCTGCCCCCAGGGCCGGGCAGCGGCGTCCGGACTGGGCGGCATGAGTGGCTCGGCCTCCCCCAGGTGCAGCTGACGGTCAGCCCCCTCCCGGCCCTCGGCGAGGAGGACAAGCTGCTGTGCCGTTTCGGGGACTCGCCGCCTCACCCTGCCCTCGTGCAGGGCGACGTGGTCGTCTGCAACTCCACCAGCATCGTGCCCGGCACACCCCCCGGCCAGGGTGAGGCCCGCCGGCCACCCGGTACGTCCTCCTTCCTTCCCCCGCCCATCGACCCCTCCCGTGACCCCATCCCCAGGGGGTGCAGGCTGCGGCGGAGGGAGGGCAGGGACCCGAGGGCAGCTGGGGCTCTGGGTGCCCTGAGCTGCCGGGCTGCGCAGCCTCGCACCCCCACCCCTCCCTGGGGCCTCCCGAGCCCTTCCCTGCGCTTCTCTGCCAGATCTCCTCGGGGCCGCCCCCCACCCCCCCGCCCCCGCAGCGGCTGGCGGGCTGTGAAAGTGGGCCAGGGCAGGCGCCAAGCCTCTGTCCCCTGAGCCCTCAGGGCCGGGGACGGGAGCCCGCTGGGATGGGCGGGGGCCGTGCAGTGACGCGCAGGGACCTGGCGGGCGCTCTGCCCCAGACACGGAGGAGCCCTGCAGGGACGGGGAGGCTGGAGGTGCGGACCCCGAGGGTGGGTGCTGACACCTGAGCCGCCGCCATCTGACAGCGGGTGGCAGGTCGTGGGGTCGGGCGCACGTCAGAGGCCCACACCGGGGCCCCGCACCGTCCAGCTCAGGTTCTGTGCGTGGCGGCCTGTTGGGTGCCGTGAGCAGAGGAGGACTCGGGCTGACAGAGGCCCAGGTCCAGGCCCTCCCGGCCCCCTACGGCCGCCACGCTGTAGACCCTCTGTGCCCGGGGGCCCCCGCCTGACCCCTTCCCCGCCTGCCCGCTGCAGACCACGTGGACGTGAACATCCAGCTCCTCTTCCTGCGCGGCGGCATCTTCCTCACCTCCCACCAGTACCCCTTCTACGACTGCCGCAACGCCACGAGCCTGGCGGAGAACCTGCCGTGAGTGTCCCGCCCGCGCCCGCCCCCAGCGCCCCCCGCCCGCCCCCGCCTCAGGCCCCGCACTCCCCGCCGCCCTCTCCCCCAGGTGCATCTCCTGCGCCAGCAGCCGCTGGACCTGCCAGTGGGACTTGCGCGCCCACCAGTGTCAGGAGGCCTCCAGCGACCCCGAGGACGGCGTCGTGCCCGCTCACACGGTGAGGGGCCGCGGGGGCTGCGGGGGGCGGCGGGGGGGGGGGCCTGGCTGCTCGGCCGCGGCCCGGTGGCACCTGACCAGCCTCCCTCTACAGGAGGACAGCTGCCCCCAGTTCCTGGACCCCAGCCCGCTAGTCGTCCCCGTGAACCACGAGACGGAGGTGGTCTTCCAGGGCAAGAACCTGGACACGGTGCAGGTGGGGCTTCCTCAGCGCAGTGCTGCCCCGCCCTGCACACTGGTGTCTGGCATGCTGGGGCCCCCGGCGCTGTGAACACACTGCTGGGGACGGAAGGAGGCGCAGAGGTCCGGGGCCGCGCGGGGGCTCTCTGAGAGGCCTTGGAAACTCGCACCGAGGAGAGGGGGCGGGCTGGGCGGCCGACGGCCGGACACCAAGTGCCACGTCGCGTGGGGGCAGCACGTTGCTGGGGCCTGGACCGTGGTGGGCTGTGTCCTGGTGGTCCGTGGGGTGGGAGGGCCTGAGCCGGCCCGGGGGAGTGGGGCACACGTGGGCCGGCGTCAGCAGTGAGCGGTGGGGCGGGGAGGGCCGGCCTGTGCCGGGCGTCCTCACCGCGTGCCCATGTGCGTGGCCTCGCAGGGCTCCCTGGTCGTGGGCAGCGACTCGCCCAAGTTTGAGGTGCCGGTGAGCACGCGGGAGAAAGGAACCTTCTTCTTTCGGACCCCAAAGGTACGGCTCCCAGGGCGGGCAGGGCGGGCTGCTGGGCCCCGAGGGCAGCCCAGTGACCTCCGGGGGGAGGAGAAAGCAGGGTGGCTGGCCGGGCAGGGTGTCCGTGTCCCCGTCTCTGGGGAGCAGAGTGCTCGCCGGTGTCTCTGCGGTTCTAACCCCTCTTCTGCTGCCCCTCGGCCAGAAGGGGGGCCACGAGGTCCCCCGCTAGCGCTCGGGTGGCAGCGGAGTGCAGTGTGTCCCTGCGTGTCCCCCCAGCTGTCCCACAATGGGAACGAGACGCTGCCCCTGAACCTGTACGTCAAGTCTGACGGCGGCAGGAACGTGGACAGCAAGCTCCAAGGTGGGCGGGGCGGGCGGTGGGGCCGGTCGGCGCGGGGAGGCTGGGCAGGGAGGGGGCGGCCCTGCTGACCCCCGGCGTCCCCTCCCGCAGTGACTCTCTACAACTGCTCCTTCGGCCGCAGCGACTGCAGCCTGTGCCTGGCCGCCGACCCCGCCTACCAGTGCGTGTGGTGCGGCGGGCGGAGCGGCTGTGTGTACCAGGCGCTGTGCAGCAACGCCACCTCCGAGTGCCCGCCGCCCGTCGTCACCAGGGTGAGCCGCGGGGGGCCACCCAGTGTGGGGGGCAGGGGGGCCCGGCCGAGCCCGGCCCGGCTGCAGAGCCGCCGCCGGCCCCGCCGCTGGGTCAGCCGGGCTCTGTGGGTTTCAGATCCAGCCGGAGACGGGCCCCCTGGGCGGCGGCGTCCGCGTCACCATCCTGGGCTCGAACCTGGGGGTCCGGGCGGACGACGTCAAGAGGGTCACTGTGGCTGGCCGGGACTGCGCCTTTGACCCAGAACGGTACTCTGTGTCCACCCGGTGAGTGGGCAGCCCGTGGCCTGGGCCCCGTGGGTCGGGGCGGCCCCTGCCCCGGGAGGCCGGGAGCAGGCGTCGGGGGGACCCGTGTCCCCGGAGAACGCGCCCCCACCGCCTGCTGCCCTCCAGGATCGTGTGCGCCGTCGAGGCCGCGGGGGCGCCCCTCACGGGGGGCGTCGAGGTGGACGTCAACGGGAAGCTCGGCCGCTCGCCGCCGCACGTCCAGTTCACCTACCAGGCGAGTACCTGGCGCCCGAGGACCGGGCGGGCTGGGCCCTTGCCGCCTTCTCGCGACGGTCAAGGTCAGCTGTGGGGCTGCTGCCCCGGCCCTGACACCGGTGCCGCCCCCTCTCCCCCAGGAGCCCCAGCCCCTCAGCGTGGAGCCCAGGCAGGGGCCGCAGGCGGGTGGCACCACGCTGACCATCAGCGGCGCCCACCTGGACACAGGCTCCGAGGAAGACGTGCGGGTGACCATCAATAACGTCCCTTGTAATGTGTGGGTGTCACCTGCGGGCCAGCGCAGCTCTGGTCTGCCCCAGTCCCCGGGGGGGGGGTGTTCTGGCCGCGACCCCGAGTGGGTCCTGGGGGGAGCAGGGCTGCCCCCATCCTGGCCCATCGGCTCCGACCTCATCTGGGGCCGGGCGGTCCCAGCGTGCGGGTGACACTGAACGACCACTGGCTGACCGGCCACCCGCACCTCCAGGACGCAGTTCGGGGCGCAGCTCCAGTGTGTCACCGGCCCCCAGGCAGCCCTGGGGGAGCTGCCCCTGAAGATCGACTACGGGGGCTCCGAGGTGCCCAGCGCCGGGGTCACCTTCACCTACCGCGAGAACCCGGTGCTGCAGACCTTCGAACCCCTGCGCAGCTTCGTCAGGTGTGCCCCGCCCCGCCCCACCCCGCCCCCACCCTCCCCTCCAGAAGCCCCTGGGAAACCCCACGGCACCCCCAGGTTGGCTCCCTGTTAGAACACCGGGCGGGCGGGCGGGCCTGGGGCCGGCCCAGGGAGAGTCACCTGTGCTCCTGGCACGCCCCGCCCTGTGGCAGGCACACACACTCACGGAGACCGGTGGGGGCGCCCACCACCGGAGGAGTTGGGTCTGGGGCTCCAATCCTGCCTTCCCGAGCCCACCACGTGGCCCACGTGGAGCTGGGGGCCCGGCCCCGCAGGGAGCCTGCTCTGGAGCCGGCCGTGCTCCTCCTGTGCCAGCCGTGCTCACTCAGGCGCTCCCCGCCCCCACAGCGGCGGCCGCAGCATCAACGTGACCGGGCAGGGCTTCAGCCTGATCCAGAAGTTCTCCATGGTGGTCCTCGCCGTGCCCCTGCAGCCCTGGCGGCACCAGCGGGACGCCAGACCCCTGGAACCCACCCTGGTCAGTGCTGCCGCCGGCGGCGGGCTCAGCGCCGCAGCTGCGCGCCGGGGACCGGCGCGGGAGGGGCGGGGCCTGTGACGAGGGTCCTGACGGCCTGGCCTCGCCCTGCAGGTGGTGGGCACGGACTACACGTTCTACAACGACTCCAGGGTCGTGTTCCTGTCCCCGACCGTCCCCGTGGAGCCGGAGGCCTACAACCTCACGGTGCTCCTTCAGATGGACGGGCACCGCATCCCGCTTAGGTGTGGCGCTGTGGCCTTTGAGTACGTGGCTGACCCCACCTTCAAGAACTTCACAGGGGGCGTCAAGAAGCAGGTCAACAAGCTCATCCACGCCCAGGTGAGGGCCAGCAGCAGTCCGGGGGTCCGGGTCCTGGGCAGCGGGTCCGGGGGTCAGGGTCCTGGGCAGCCGGCCGTGCCCATGGGGAGGCCGCTCAGGGTCTGGACGCAGCGGGTCCGGGGGTGCCCGCGTCCTTCCCGGGAAGGTCGCGCTGAGCCCGCCCTGCTCCGCCCCGCCCGCGCAGGGCACCAACCTGAACAAGGCCATGACGCTGCACGAGGCGGAGGCCTTCGTGGGTGCCGAGCGCTGCATCATGAAGACGCTGACGGAGACCGACCTGTACTGCGAGCCGCCGGAGGTGCAGCCCCCTCCCAAGCGGCGGCAGAAGCGAGACACCACGCTCAACCTGCCGGAGTTCATCGTGCGTGTGGGGGCCGGCCGGGCCGGCGGGGGGGCCCCGGGCTGTGCCTCTGGGCGCCGGGCGCCCTGGCCTCAGCCACCCCGTGCTGAGCTCTCCGCTCCGCGCAGGTGAAGTTTGGCTCCCGGGAGTGGGTGCTGGGTCGCGTGGAGTATGACAGCCGTGCGAGTGAAGTGTCTCTCGGTGTCATCCTGCCGCTGGTCATACTGCCCATGGGCGTCCTCATCGCCCTGTTTGTCTACTGCTATTGGTGAGCCGGCCCCGCCCCTCCCGCAGCCTCGGCCCCGCCCCTCTCACAGTCTCGGCCCCGCCCCTCCAGCAGCTTCGGCCCGCCCCCACAGTCTCAGCCCCGCCCTCCCGCAGCCTCGGCCCCGCCCCCACAGGTCCCGGCCCCGCCCCTCCCGCAGCTTCGGCCCGCCCCTCCCGCAGCTTCGGCCCCGCCCCTCCCGCAGCCTCGGCCCGCCCCCACAGTCCCGGCCCCGCCCCTCCCGCAGCCTCGGCCCCGCCCCCACAGTCCCGGTCCCGCCCCTCCCGCAGCTTCGGCCCGCCCCTCAGTCTAGGCCCCGCCCCTCTTGCAGCCTCGGCCCCGCCCCCACAGTCCCGGTCCCGCCCCTCCCGCAGCTTCGGCCCGCCCCCTCAGTCTAGGCCCCGCCCCTCTCGCAGCCTCGGCCCCGCCTCCCGCAGCCTCGGCCCCGCCCCCACAGGTCCCGGTCCCGCCCCTCCCGCTCCTACTCCGCCCTCTGGCCGCACCCCCCGCCCAGCTCTGGGAGGGCGCGAGCCGGGTCCCAGGAGCCTCCCTGTGCGCAGGAGGAAGAGCCAGCAGGCGGAGCGCGAGTACGAGAAGATCAAGTCCCAGCTAGAGGGCCTGGAGGAGAGCGTGCGTGACCGCTGCAAAAAGGAGTTCACGGGTGCGGCCGCGGGGCACGCGGGGAGAGGGGCGCCCGGGGGGGGGGCCTGGGAAGCGGCCGTAGAGGGCGAGGCGTCAGCGGCGCTGTCCCTCCAGACCTGATGATTGAGATGGAGGACCAGACGAGCGACGTGCACGAGGCGGGCATCCCCGTGCTGGACTACAAGACGTACACCGACCGCGTCTTCTTCCTGCCCTCCAAGGACGGCGACAAGGACGTGATGATCACGGGCAAGCTGGACATCCCCGAGTCCCGGCGGCCCGTGGTGGAGCAGGCCCTCTACCAGTTTTCCAACCTGCTCAACAGCAAGTCCTTCCTCATCAACGTGAGCGGGCCGGGTGGGTGGCCGGGGTCGGGAGGGGCGGAGGGCCGGGAGACGGGGGCTCTGACCGGCCGCCCCCACAGTTCATCCACACCCTGGAGAACCAGCGGGAGTTCTCGGCCCGCGCCAAGGTCTACTTTGCGTCGCTGCTGACGGTGGCGCTGCACGGGAAGCTGGAGTACTACACCGACATCATGCGCACGCTCTTCCTGGAGCTCATGGAGCAGTACGTGGTTGCCAAGAACCCCAAGCTGATGCTGCGCAGGTGCGTGGGGGCAGGGCGCGGAGGCCGAGCGGGCGGTGTGCTGGCCGGGGCAGCCAGGGCCCCTGAGTGAGTCGGGCGAGGGACAGCAGGGGCAGCGTCCCCACTGGCCACTGACTGCCCCCCTCAGCATCAGCCCTCTGCAGGACGCAGCGACATGCCCAACACAAGGGGGCTGGGCACTTGGTCACTGGAAGCTGGGCGTGGGCATCCTGCCAGGTGCCTGGCCAGGGAGGCTGGTCTGGGTGCCGGAAGAGCCAGCTGGGCAAGGGGCACTGCGGGGTCCCTCAGTGCCAGGCCTGCCTGCCCCTCCAGGTCTGAGACGGTGGTGGAGAGGATGCTGTCCAACTGGATGTCTATTTGCCTGTACCAGTACCTCAAGGTGGGCTTCATGGGGCTGGCGGGGGGTCAGGGCTGGGGGGGTGTTGTTCCCCATAGCCAGTGGCCCAGAAGCACCCGGGGGTGTGTGGTCAGCCCCCCACCAGCGGCTGAGCAGCCCATGTTGCCCCAGGACAGCGCTGGTGAGCCCCTGTACAAGCTCTTCAAGGCCATCAAGCACCAGGTGGAGAAGGGCCCGGTGGACGCCGTGCAGAAGAAGGCCAAGTACACCCTCAACGACACAGGGCTGCTGGGGGACGACGTGGAGTACGCACCCCTGGTGAGCCCCGACCTGCTGCCCGCGTGGGTGGGGCCGGGCTCCTCCGAGGGCGTCTGCTGGCATGTGCTGCGTGCGCTGCGAGGGCACGCCGGCGGAGCCAGGGCCGCGAGGGAGGCGAGGCCGGGGTGGCCAGGGTGTGTGTGGGGAGCTCCGGGCCCGCCTTCCGGTCCTTCATCCCATGTCCGTCCCACCTCCCTGCAGACGGTGAACGTGATCGTCCAGGACGAAGGGGCAGACGCCGTCCCCGTCAAGGTCCTCAACTGCGACACCATCTCACAGGTCAAGGAGAAGATCATCGACCAGGTGTACCGCACGCAGCCGTGCTCCCGCTGGCCCAAGGCGGACAGCGTGGTCCTCGGTGAGCACGGGCCCCCTGTGCCCCGCTCCTCGTGCCGGTGGGGCGGGCGGGGTGGGGGGGCAGCACAGGGGGCCCCGCCGGGTGCTCTGTGGCTGGGTCCCAGGAGCTCGGCCGTGTCGTGTCGCCCCGCAGAGTGGCGCCCTGGGTCCACCGCCCAGATCCTGTCGGACCTGGACCTGACCTCCCAGCGGGAGGGCCGGTGGAGACGCATCAACACCCTCATGCACTACAACGTGAGTGCGGGCGGCTGGGGGCCAGGCTCCCCGTGGACCCCTGAGGGCTGCAGGGCCAGGCGGGCCCTCACCACCTGCCTGTGTTCCCCAGGTCCGGGACGGAGCCACTCTCATCCTGTCCAAGGTGGGGGTCTCCCAGCAGCCTGAGGACAGCCAGCAGGACCTGCCCGGGGAGCGTGAGTCCCTTCCTCTTGCCTGTTGTGTCCGGCCCCTCGGCGTGAACCAGCGTCCACCTCCAGGTGCCGTCTGGGGGCCGGTGCTCCCGTGCCGACCCTCGGTGTGCGCCCTCCCACAGGCCACGCCCTCCTGGAGGACGAGAACCGCGTGTGGCACCTGGTGCGGCCGGCGGACGAGGTGGAGGAGGGCAAGTCCAAGCGCGGCAGCGTGAAGGAGAAAGAGCGCACCAAGGCCATCACGGAGATCTACCTGACCCGCCTGCTCTCCGTCAAGGTGGGCAAAGAGCGGGCGGGCAGGCAGGCAGGCAGGCTGCCGGAGGGCAGTGGGCGGGACCAAAGGGTGGAGCCCTCCCCCACAGGGCGGGCAGTGGGCGGGACCAAAGGGTGGAGCCCTCCCCCACAGGGCGGGCAGTGGGCGGGGCCAGAGCGCTGAGCCCTCCCCCTCCCCCCCACAGGGCACACTGCAGCAGTTCGTGGACAACTTCTTCCACAGCGTGCTGGCTCCCGGCCTGGCCGTGCCGCCCGCCGTGAAGTACTTCTTCGACTTCCTGGACGAGCAGGCGGAGAAGCACGACATCAGGGACGAGGACACCATCCACATCTGGAAGACCAACAGGTGGGGGTCCCTCTGCCCCGCCCCCCGCCCGCCGCGCGGTCCCGGGGGCCGCTCACCCGCTGTCTCTCTGCCTCAGTTTACCGCTGCGGTTCTGGGTGAACATCCTCAAGAACCCCCACTTCATCTTCGACGTGCACGTCCATGAGGTGGTGGACGCCTCGCTGTCCGTCATCGCGCAGACCTTCATGGACGCCTGCACGCGCACGGAGCACAAGCTGAGCCGCGTGAGTGGCCCCACGGCGGCGGCCACAGTCTGGCCGGGGCAGGAGGGCCGCCCGGGGCAGAGCCCACGGGAGAGCCGCGGCTGGGCGGGGCCGGGCCTGGCCGGGGGTTTTGTCTGGGGTGTCGATTTGTGCATTTGGAACTGGAGCTCAGGAGACGGCAGGTGCGGGGTAAACGGGTCCTTTTCTCCCTCCGTGGGGACCCTACACTCACACCAGCAGAGAAACCAAGTTTTGTTGCAGATGAAAACTGATGTCGGTGTGGGACGTGGGTCCGGTCTAGCTGGGCGGGGTCCTGCCTCCTGCTCCCCAGTGGTGGGGCCCTGCTCCCTCAGGGCCCGTGGGCAGGGACACCCGCCTGCCCACCCTGGCCCGGGCGTCACCTGGCTCTGCCTCCATAGGACTCACCCAGCAACAAGCTGCTCTACGCCAAGGAGATCTCCACCTACAAGAAGATGGTGGAGGAGTGAGTGACCCCGCCCCCACCCCCGCCCCCACCCTGCGGGCCCGGGAGCAGCACCCTGTTGGGCAGCTGGGTCTGGACTCCGGCGCCCATTGCACCCGCCCTTTCCCGCAGCTACTACAAGGGGATCCGCCAGATGGTGCAAGTCAGCGACCAGGACATGAACACACACTTGGCGGAGATTTCCCGGGTGAGGGGGGCCCTCTCTCGGGCAGCAGACTGCACTGCAGGGTGAGGGGTGTCCTGCCCCCAGGAGAGAGGCAGGGGGCGATGCCCATTGGGCCGCGGCCTGTATGTGGCCACGCGTGCACTTGGGGGACGGTCGGCTACAAGCCGCCCTTATCGGCTACGCAGCGGCGTGGATGGGGCCGTGGCTGCCCCGCGCGTCTGCGTGCTCTGAGGCTGTGGCGCTGTGTCTGCCTGCGCCCCCTGTCAGAGCCCGCGGCTTGCTCCGCGGGGGGACTGCTTCCTGCCCTGCCCTGCCCCGCCCCGCCCTGGGTCACACTGCCCCCTCCGCAGGCGCACACGGACTCCCTGAACACCCTGGTGGCCCTGCACCAGCTCTACCAGTACACACAGAAGTACTACGACGAGGTAGGTGGTCCCGCCCTCCTGGGGGGCCGAGCCGGGCAGCCCCCTCCCCACCCGGCGCCTGACACGAGCCGCCCTCAGATCATCAACGCCCTGGAGGAGGACCCCGCTGCCCAGAAGATGCAGCTGGCCTTCCGCCTGCAGCAGATCGCGGCCGCACTCGAGAACAAGGTCACGGACCTCTGACCTTCAGGCCCCGCCACGTGGTCTCGGTCGGGGCGCAGGTGCGTGATGCCGGACGCCGCTGGCACTGCGTGCCCTGACCAATGAGACCCGGGTGGTGGGCCCCGCCCCTCCCTCTCGCTGGCCGCGGAGGAGCCCCCCAGGGCGTGCGGGTGCGCGTGCGCGCGCGCGCGGAGGGGATCCCCGCCTCCGCGTCCGCGGCCACACGGCGTCTCTCCCCCGAGCAGCAGTGCCCGGCGCCCTCCAGCACCAGCTCCTCCTGAAGAACCAGCACCGGGCGCCGTCTCCGAGTGGAGTCCCCTGAGCTCTTCGCAAATGTGCCTTTAGCCCCCGGCGCCGCCTGCGTCGCTAGGGGCGGTCGGGCCTCAGCCCCCTTCCCGACAAGCACCAGCAGCCGCCTCAGACACGTGGGTTTGGCCTCCTCGGGGCTCTGAGTGCCTGCAGCCCCCAGGCCCTCGCGCCCAGACTGCCCGCCCGCCCGCCCAGACGGGAGGAGAAAAGCGGTACGATGCCTTCCTGACCTCACCTGGCCCGCTCTGCGGCGCCACGGCGCCCTGGGCGGGCTCTGCGCCGCCGGCCTCACCTCGAAGGTCAAGCTGGATGTCAGACGTCGAGGCCCAGGCGGCCAGAGGGGACCCATCAGACTGGGGGGCCTGGCCTCAGCCTGTCAGACAGGCTGTCCTGGAGGCTCTGCCCTGTCTGGGGGGCCGGCAGCTCAGCTAGGTCACCCCCCCTCCCCCCTTTTTGTAAATCTTGTTCATTGTAAATCAAATACAGCTGTGTTTTTCATTCTGCTGGTTGGCTGGGTTCTTCCTGGGCCTGTCCAGCCCTCAGCCCCAGACGCCCTTTGGCCCTCGGACAGAGACCTCACCCTCAGGTCGGCTGCTGTGGCTTTACTCCCCTCCCCCACCAGTTCCTCTGGACCAGGCCCTGGGCGGGGCGGGGGTGGGGCGTGCAGCGGCCACTGTCCCCACAGCCGGGAGCTGAGTGGGGTCCACCCTGGAGGATGGTCGAGGGCTGAGAGGCCCGGCCTCCGGCGTGGAGAGGAGCTGGGGCACGCTGGGCCTGGAGGTGATCCTGGAACGGGTTATGGCGACAGAGGGGTGCAAGGAGGTGGGGTAGTGAGGGGGCTGGGCTGGCTGGGGCACCCACAGGTGGCCACAGCACCCCCGTCCTCCTTGTTATGCTGAGCTCCGCCCCAGGCTGAGGGGCGGGTGTGAAGAGCCAGACCCTCACTGGTGGCATCTCCGAATAAACCCCCCTAAGCCCGGGGACCTGTTTCCTCCTCCCTGACGTGGGGGCACCTCACAGGCATGCTCCATCCAGTGCACATTTAGTAAGCCCCTACTGTATGCAGAACCCACGGGGCCCTGGGGTGGCTCCGGGATAGAGGGCCCTGCGTCCCCCTGCTCGAGGCTGTGGGGCCACTGGGGTGGGCGTCTGTCCCGTGAACTGCCCCAGGGTGACTCAGGGCCTGAGTAGGGCTCAAGGGCCCTGGACCTGGGAGCAGGTGGCACCTTGCTGGTGCTTGTCTGGGAATCTGGTGAGGGGGAAGGAGCATTGCTCCCAGCCTGAGTCCCATGTAGGGCAGGAGGTATAAAGTGTGTCACCCTGTGGCCCTGGGCACACAGTGTGCATGCTCGCACACACCATCAGTGTGTTTCAGGGTCGCTTCATTAAATACTTAATTTATTTTTTACAGGCAGGAGAAGGGAGGGAGAGAGAGACACATGGGTCAGTTGCCTCTCTTGTGCCCCCAACTGGGGACCTGGCCCACAACCCAGGCGTGTGCCCTGACCAAGAATCAAACCAGCGACCTTTCAGTGGCCGGTGACTCGGCTGGAGTGTCGTCCCATACCCCAGAGGGTTGTGGGTTCAATCTGTGGTCGGATCCCCGGTCAGGGCAATTTTGGGAGGTAACCCGTTGATGTTTCTCTCTAAAAATTTGATAAACATATCCTCCAGTGAAGATTAAAATGAATACTAATGACGCAGAAAGGGGTGTGATGGCTCTGGAACAGGAGGTGGTCCAGCCCCAGCGATGGGTGGACCGGTGCTCACAAGTCCGAACTTCTTCCCGACACCTGCTGGTTTGTCCTGGGCAGCAAGCAGCACCAGGCAGGGACTCCTCCGCCTGGGGCAAACTCCTGTGGCTGGGGGGTGTGCGCGCGGAGGCCTGGGTCAGGAGCCCGGCTGCCTAGCCGCAGTCAAGCCGCTTGGAGCAAGGGTGGTGTCCCCACAAGGAAGGGCACTGGGCGAACAGCAGACAAGCCCCCCGGGGACCCCTGCAACTGCAGTGCTGTGGTCCACACTGGGTCCCCCCTTGGCAGACACCCAGCACGGCAGGAAGTCAGAGCAGGGGGGTGTCTGGGAGTGCTGAGCTTGAAGGGGGGCTGGAGGCCTGGCTTCCAGGCCGGACCCCAGCAGGCCACTCCTGCCCGCTGCTGCCTGGGCGGCTGGGCGAGAAGACGGGGGAAGGGCTGCAGGTCCAGCGGGCGGCCCCCCCGGGTGGGCCCCCGCCCTTGGAGGAAGGTGCGTGACAGGATCCAGGGGCTTGTCCTTTCGTGGGCCCCGGTTCAGAGGCACAGGGTGGGCAGGCCAGCCCTGGGTGGTCAGGACGCTGGCCTCGGTGAGGCGGCCAGCAGCAACCTGGACCTCTCCGTCCACACTGCAGGCACACCCCACTGCTCATGAAGAGCACGAGGCCCCTGTCCCCGGAAACAGGCGGACCAGCACGTTGTCAGGGAGTTCAGTTGAACCTCAGGGAGAAGGACAACCAGACTGGTGAGGGGCTGGAAAGGGGGTGACCCGGGCCAGTGGAGGGGACAGTGGACATGGGGAAAAGGGCTGGGTTCTCCACCTTCAGGGCTGACGCTGAGTCCCGCCCGGTAGAGGGTGGGGGAGGCCAGGGCCCAGGCCTGGGTAGAAGGCCCTTCTCCCAGCCCCCCACACTCACCCCTGTGCCCCCCCCCCCACCGACGCCTGGCTGGTGCCCCGCCCCACCCCACACGGCCGACAGCCCGAGCCCAGCCCTCTCACCTAGACAAAGCAACCTTCACCTGCTGGCCTGCGTGACACTGAAAATGTCCAGCCGTGCCCCCAGGAAACAAAACTCCGAAATCTGACCGTGGCTGCCCCCAGTCTGCCACAGCTCCCTGCGGGGCCACCCTCCTACAGTCCCTTAAGTCACGCTCTGTCCTGAGAGGCAGGACTGTCCATTGTCACCTCTCCAGGGGGCTTCTCCCTGCCCCTGACCCCCGGGAAACTCTCCCTGGTCACTCCCAGGCAGTTAGAACCGGGCCCTCCCCGGAACGCAGTGAGGGGCGCCCGTCTGCCCCAGGCCGGTTCACAGGCTGGGCTGGGTGTGTCCAGGGCGGGTTTCCTCGAAGGAGAGGAGCTGTGCTTCCGAGGACCCCTGAGCCCCACAGGGAGGCCCCCCCACTCTAGTCACCTTCGACCACTCACCCCCCGGATCCCGGGGGAGGCCCGGCGGGGGTTCCCTTGGATGGGCAGACCCCAACCCCTGGGAGAGCGTCGCTGTGCCCCAGCCCCGCGCAGGGGCGGTGCCGGTCGCCACGGGAACGCGCGCCAGCTCGCCTGGGGTGCAGACAAAGGCTGGTCTCCCGGCGGCCGCGAGGCCCGGTTCCCACAGCCTGGGCCCCGCTCCCGCCCCTCCCCCGGCTTTCGCTGAAGCCTCATTAACTCCGCACAAAACCTTAGCCGCCGGAGAAGGGCGCCCCAGGGCGGGGCCCTCGAGGAGACCCAGAGCGGGCCGCGGGGGCAGGGACCCCGCTCCCAGAGGGGAAACTGGAGCCGGGGCGGGAGTGGCGGGGCCGGCTCCGGACTGGGCCGAGGTCACGCGAGGGTGGCCTTTGCGGCTGGGACTCAGGGCCCGCTGCCCCGGGGTCCGGACCCTCTGTCCGGTGTGCCCATTTGCCCGGTACTGCTTTGGCATGCATTACTCTCATTTGTTCGTCCATATTTACACATCAGGTGACTTCCATAAAAACCCAGGCTTTAGCGTGTTTCCATCTCTCCGCCGGCCCAGGGCGGGGGTCAGGAGGCGCCTCTCTCCACTGCGCAGCGGGATGTACCAGCGGGAGCCCAGAGCGCCGGGCAGGCCGGCTGGTGGGGGCTGAACCGCGAGAGCGCAGCGCGGGGCGGGAGGAGCTCGCAGCCCCTGGGGACGGGCGGGTGCTGATTCCAGGGGCTCCTCTGAACCCAGGCACGTCAGGGTGGGCTTCCTGGAGGAGGTGACAGCTGAGGGGGGCAGTCGCAGAAGGAGGAAGGATGCCAGGCACCGAGGAAGATCCATCTGGGGAAAGTTTCTTGTGGGCACAACACCCCGAAGGCCCCCTGGCGGTGGCGCTGTCCCTGGTCCTGACGGGGCAGGTCTCCAGGCCTGGCGGGGCGGTCCCGGTTGCCCCGGGAGACGCCGGTGGGCCGCCAGTCGGGAGGGGCTGCCGGAGGCCGCGCCCCACCACGGCCAGGACGGCGGCCCGGGACCCGTGGCGCCATCTGCCCACCGTAGAGGGGCCCTCCAGAGCCGGCCGGTGCGTAGTTGCGTTAGGTGTCATTTTCCAAGTTGGCGACGGTGCACACTGGCATCTTGATTTCATGGGAGCCGCTGGCGGGGGCGGGGGGGGACGGTGCGGGGCGGGAGTGGGGCGGAGAGGTGGAGGCGGCGGCCTGGATCCGCGGCGGCCTGGATCCGCGGCGCCCGGGCCGGGACCGGACGTGGAAGGATATTTGGGGAGGTGCGTGGGGCCCTGGCCGCCCCCGCCTCCCCCACACCCGCGGCCCTGCTCCCGGGACCGCCCCGGGAGGGGAGAGGAGGGCTGGTTTCCGCTCGGCAGCGCCTCCGAGGGGCAGGAAGACGCCTTGTCTCCGGGAACCCCTCGCCAGCCCCGCCCCGTGCACCGCCCTCCGTGCGCCCGGCTCGCGCTCCGCCGCGGCGGGGGGCGCGGCGGACATGTCCGGCCCGCGCGCCGGCTTCTATCGGCAGGAGCTGAACAAGACAGTGTGGGAGGTGCCGCAGCGACTGCGGGGGCTGCGCCCGGTGGGCTCGGGCGCCTACGGCTCCGTCTGGTAGGGGCGGGGCGGGGCGGGGCGGGGGCCGGGAACCCCGGGCTCTGCGCGGCTGGCAGGTCGGTGGAATGAATGGGGGGTGGGGAGCGTGAAGGAAACTTGCCTACCGGACGCCGCGCCCGGTCGTCCTCCTGCCCCGTCTTTCCGGAGTGTCCCCCACCAGGCCCTAATCCTGCGGCGTCACAGCAGCGGGGAAAGGGCGGGTCTCCCGGGCCAGAAGGTCTGAGCGCGCGCCTGAAGTGCTCCTGGTGGAGGGTCAGGCAGCCCCGGGCTCTGGCAGACGCTCCGCCGTAGGGTGGGTCTGCTCTTTGGGGGGAAAGAAAAGCCGGGGCCCAGGGCAAGACCCCTCCCCCTAGGATGGCCTCAGGCGGCTCCCGTTTTGCCTGGGAACTCAGATGGGGTCTCGGGCTAAGAAAACACGCTGTCGTGACCCCTACAGTCCTTCGGGGGCTCTACACCCCACCGCATTCTTTCTCCAACCCAGAGAGCTCTGACTACAGCCCTGCAGTTAGGCCCTGGGGCCCAGACGGAGGACACAGTCTGGAGGCGGGGAGGAGGGTCCGCCCTTCCTTTGGCTGAGGCCTGTTGCCCTGGGGGGGTGCCGAGGCCGGAGGGGCTGGCGGTGAGGTGGTTGCAGGAAGTCCTGCTGTCGGTTGGAATGCTGGCCCGAGGCTGACGGTGGGTGTGGATGTTCGGAGAGGTCCCCCCTCCCACAGCACCCAGTGGGTTCCTCACCAAGGCCAGTGACAGGTGGCCACTGTCCACTGCAGGGGTCATGGGGGTGGGGACGCCGAGGCCCTCAGGGAAACACCACTGCCGCAGGCTGTGGCAGAGGGTTAAGAAGGGGACTTCCCCGAGCCCTGCCTGAGGCCCGGAGCCGGAGCCTGGAGCCTGGAGCCTGGAGCAGGGGCGTGAGGCCCCAGTGGCTCCGATCGCATCTGATCCTGTGGTCTGTCGGTCGGGAGCCTCAGGCAGGCCCCTTTGGGCAGGGCCACAGCCACTGGCCTCTGTCCTCATCTCTGAGACACCAAGGGCGCGGGGAGGGCCTCTGGGAGGCCTGACGGAGCGCCCGCTGCAGCTGTATCCTGGTGGGGTGGGGAGGGCTCCCCGGGAGTGTGAGCTTCCTGAGGGCAGCCCGGGTCCCTCTCTGCTGCTGCGCCCGCCTGGGGCGGGCCGTGGCTCCCGTGGTCCTTCCCCATTCCCCTGATGCCGCCGTCCCGAGGGTGCACAGCCAGGGTCAGGGAAAGGGATCGGCTGCTCTGTCTGAGGGGCCAGTCCCACTCCCCGCCCCCAGGGGGACTTGGACCTTCCCCAGCCGGTGGTCCGTGAGGGGAGGGGACAGAGGCCCCAGGCTTTCCCCCACCCCCAGCTGGGCCCACGAGCACCCCTGGTTTGCAGGAGCGGCTCCCAGCACTGTGTGGGTGCAGCTCACTCTTGGTGGGGGGGCAAGACCCCAGAGCCAGGGGGTGCAGTGGGACTGGGGGGTGGGACGGTGACTGGGCTGTTTGCTTCTGAGATGGTGCCAGTGACTGCAGACTCCCCTGTGAGGAGGTGGCTGTGGGGGTGGAGGGCCGGGACCTGGTGTGCTGGGGCTCGGCGGGGATAGGTGTGTGGGTGCAGGCCGCACCCCTGCTGGATGTTTCCTGGGGCCTGGTTCCTCGCTGTCCCCGGCAGTGATGCCAGAGGCTTTGGAGGAGCCTGTGGACCCCTAGCCCATGGGGGTGGGGGGACCGAGCGCTGTGGGAACAGCTCCTGCTGTTTCTTTCTCTGGGGTGTCTTCTCCACCCTGGCCGGTGGAGACTCCCCAGCCTCGCTCTGGGTCTGGGGCGAGAGTCAGTGGGGGGAAGGACGAGACATCGGGTCCTTCCAGGGGGCTCCCAGGTGGGACGGGCTGGCCCTGAGTGTTGGGAGGGCCTGGGTGCAGGGGTGGGCAGGAGGGGGATCAGCTTCTCTCCAGGAAGGAGCAGGGCCGGAGGCGGTTCAGAGGAAGTGCCAGTCTCCGTCTCATCCCTGGGGGGCCTGAGCGGCACCTGGATGGCGGCCCAGCCCCCGGGGTCCGCCGGAGCAGAGGGCGCGCGGGCAGGGGTGGCGGAAAGGGCCGGCCCCCACGGAGGAGGCGCGGCCGGAGGAGGCGCGGCCGGGCGCTGGTGCAGCCCCGCCTGCCCCCTTGCAGCTCGGCGTACGACACGCGGCTCCGCCAGAAGGTGGCGGTGAAGAAGCTGTCGCGCCCCTTCCAGTCGCTGGTGCACGCCAGGCGGACCTACCGGGAGCTGCGGCTGCTCAAGCACCTGAAGCACGAGAACGTGAGCGGGGACCCCCCCCACCCCCGCGGGGGCTGCGCATGCGCGCGGGGTGGGCCTGGGCCGCTCGGCCATCCTGACCCCTCCCGCCAGGTCATCGGGCTGCTGGACGTCTTCACCCCGGCCACCTCCGTAGAGGACTTCAGCGAAGTGTAAGCGGCCCCGGGCGCGGCGCGGGGGTGCGGGGTGGGGCGGGGCGCGGGGCTCGGGCCTGACGCTGCCCCGGCCCAGGTACCTGGTGACCACGCTGATGGGCGCCGACCTGAACAACGTGGTGAAGTGCCAGGTGCTGAGCGACGAGCACGTCCAGTTCCTCGTGTACCAGCTGCTGCGCGGGCTGAAGGTGGGCGCCCGCGGGCGGGCGGACGGGCGGGCGGGCGGGCGAGCAAGCACATCGTGGGGGCGGGAACCTGACCTCCGTCTCCCCCCTGCAGTACATCCACTCGGCCGGGATCATCCACCGGGTAGGTGCGGGGGCGAGGGCCGGGCTCCGCGGGGCCGCCTGCGTTCCTCCCGTGCTCCCACCCTTGCCACCTGACCCCGACCCCGACCCTGACCCCGACCCGACCCTGCAGGACCTGAAGCCCAGCAACGTGGCGGTGAATGAGGACTGCGAGCTCAGGGTGAGTGCCCCCCGGGGCGGGGGAGGGGCGCAGGGCGTGGAGAAAGTGCTCCTGGGGCCCTGACCGCCCGCCCGCCCCCCGGGGTGCTGGCCCCAGATCCTGGACTTCGGGCTGGCCCGCCAGGCGGAGGAGGAGATGACCGGCTACGTGGCCACCCGCTGGTACCGCGCCCCTGAGATCATGCTCAACTGGATGCACTACAACCAGACAGGTGACGCCGCCCCGCACTGTGGGGCCGGGTGCGCGGGCAGAGCACATGCCGAGGCCAGGAGTCAGGGTGTGGGGGGCAAAGCCGAGGATGGGGGGTTCCAATCTCGTGGGTCCCCCGGCCTGGGGCCGGCACTCAGAAACTGACCTTCAGGGGGGCAGAGCCTGGTGGTCTTGGGCTAGCCCCTCCCCCTGCCCAGGGTTTTATCTAGAGGGGGAGGGGGGCTGGGTCCGGCTGGGCCCGCGGGGCTGGCGCAGCCCAGGCAGCCCCCCAGCTCCCCGAGAAGGGACTGCGGGGGGGGGCAGGCTGATGGAGATTTCGCCCCCAGCAGTGGACATCTGGTCTGTGGGGTGCATCATGGCGGAGCTCCTCCAGGGGAAGGCCCTCTTCCCGGGCAGCGACTGTATCCTTGGCCCGGGGCGAGGGGGGGGGGCCGGGCCAGGAGCCCTGCCTTCCCGAGAGCGGGGTCCAGGCAGCGCCTGGGGCCTGGGGTCTGGGGGCCCGAGAAGGGTTCGCGCCTGGCCAGCGGGCATTTCCTGAGCCAGGCAGACATCGACCAGCTGAAGCGCATCATGGAGGTGGTGGGCACACCCAGCCCCGAGGTTCTGGCCAAGATATCGTCGGAACATGTGAGTCACCAGCTTCCTCGGCCGGCCAGGCCGCCCCGCCCCCGAGCTCGAGAGGAAGGGCAGTGTGGTTGGGAGCAGGGGCCACCACGGGACGGGCAGCACCTGACCCTTGGGGGGGCACGGGGAAGACCTCCGGGCCTGAGGGACAGCGAGGGCAAAATGGCAGCACCCACAGCAGTGCCCTGGGTGGGGGGGTGGCCCCGGCCTGGCACAGGGCCAGGGGAGGGAGGGAGGGAGCAGCCCCCACAGGCCCCCTGTGCCCACAGGCCCGGACGTACCTCCAGTCGCTGCCCCCCATGCCCCAGAAGGACCTCCGGAGCATCTTCCGCGGAGCCAACCCCCTGGGTGAGGTCGGGCCCCGGGTCGGGGCTGGGCTCCCGCCGCGTCTGGCCCTGGACTCGGAGCTGACCTGCCGACCTCCTGCCCTCCTGGCCGCTCTGCAGCCGTGGACCTCTTGGGAAGGATGCTGGTGCTGGACAGCGACCAGAGGGTCAGTGCGGCCGAGGCGCTGGCCCACGCCTACTTCAGCCAGTACCACGACCCGGACGACGAGCCCGAGGCCGAGCCGTACGACGAGAGCGTGGAGGAGAAGGAGCGCTCTGTGGAGGAGTGGAAGGGTGGGCCGGGGAGGGCGGCCGGACGCGGGGGCGGGGGAGCCCCGGGGCCCGAGGGCTGCCTCCCCAGGGAGGCCGGCGTCCCCTGTGTCCTGCTCATCCCTGCTCAGGGTGGTCTGGGAGGGGGACGGCATGCCCCCCGCTCCAGGGTGCAGCAGGCGGAGATGGGGTTGGTGGGGCCGGCAGGACGTGGGGACGGCACCGGCCGGGCTCTGGAAGGGTCGTGGGCAGATGCGGAAGCCTCCTGGGGCAGCCTCAGCAGGGGGTGGGCCTGGGCCGGGCGGCTGGCACCACACAGCGGTGGGCAGTGCTGGGCAGTGCCGGGCGGCGGCAGCATGAGCTCGCCTTCCCCCTCACCCCCCAGAACTCACCTACCAGGAAGTCCTCAGCTTCAAGCCCCCGGAGCCACCGCAGCCGCCGGGCGGCCGGGACGTCGTCGAGCAGTGAGCTGCGCCGGACGGAGCTCACAGTGGGGCTGGGCCTGCCCCCTGCCCCCCCCCCCGGCTCCCCAGCTGCCAGGGGGTTGCCCCCACCGCTCGACCCCTGTCCTGGGACCCCCGGTCTGCATGCTGCTCCCTGTGGGAGTCTGCGCACACGTATGAACGCATGAACGTGTGCCCTTGTGCAAGCCGTGGGCGGAGGAGTATGGACAGCGTGTCCTTGGCCCTTCTCCCACCTCCCAACAACCAGGGCCTCCCCTGGGACCTCACCGTAGAGGACCTGGATGCTTAGGGGTCGGTCCCCCAGGCAGCGTGTCTGTCTCCGGACCTCAGGCCCAGCGGGCTGTCTCTGGGAGGTGGTGCACTGGGACCAGGGCCCGCTGGAGACTCAGAGGGTGGAGTGTCTGTGGTCCAAGCTGCTCAGCCTGGAACTGGGGGCTACCCTGAGAAATGCTGAGACCCAAAGCCCTGAGAGCGGGACAGGGTCTTCCCTGGGGGGGGGGCAGGGTGGCGACAGCCACAAAGTGTCAAGTCGGACCCCTCCTGCAGCCACATGCTCCCCGGAGCTGTGTGGCATGTGTGCTCCTGGCATTTACATGTCCAGGCAGGCGACGGTGTCCCAGGGCCAGTGGCTGTGGCCAGCAGGAGGCCCAAGGTGGGGTAGCTGCGTGCCTCCCCCCCGCCCCCCCAGTGTCTGACGTCACGGGGCATGTGCTGTGTCCCACTCGAGGGGCTCAGGTGGGCAAGGAGCAACCTCGGGAACCACAGCCGGGGCGCTGTCCTCGGGGTCCCAAGCACCAGGGCGCGGAGCCAGCCAGCCGGGGAGCTGGCGAGCAGGGGGGGCGGGGGGAGGCGTGGGGGGCTGGCACCCACTGAGGCGGACTTGGACTTGGGCCCTGGGCCGGGGCCGGGGGCTGGTGAAGACGCCCCTGCCCGCTCGCTGGCCCTGGGCCGACAGTCGGGGCGCTGCGCTCCTTCCGGGACGGAGCTGACCCGTGACCTCTGGGCCAGGCCCTGCTCCAGAGGTGTTGGAGGTGTGGCCTCGGGTGGTGACCTCCGACCTCGCACGCCCCCCGGGGGGTCAGACTGTCAAGTGCCTGCACCAGAGTCTCAGTAAAGGAGGTTTCCTCTTGCTCAGCTTGTGTCCCGGCGCCGGGTGCTGTCTTGCCCTCCCGCTGCCGGGAGGGGCGGCCGGGGCTCCGTGCGTCACACCCCCAGCTGGCCCAGCCGCACCAGACACCCAGGTCCCTTGGGTCCCAGTCGGACAAGCAGCCGTCTTTCAGCCCCCTCCCTACTTCCCCCAGGCCAAGGGGCTCCAGGGGGCCGGGGCGGGGCGGTGTGACGGCCTCCCACAGACCAACCTGCATGGGGTCAGATCCGGACCTGCCCCTTCACTCAGGGGCCAGGGAGGCTGTGTGTGGTGGGGGACAGCTGAGGGGTGAGTGGGGCTCGCCTGGGGCTGGACAGGGGGGAGAGAACAGCTTCCTCCCGGATTAAGGGGAAGAGGCCGCCTCAGCTCCCAGCACAGCCTGAGCAGTGCGGGTGGGTGGGCGAGGGCCTGGCCCCAGGGAGTGTCGGGCGGAGTGTCTCCAGGACGGGGACCTTCCGCACCACACCCCGGGCCTGGGGGGTGGAGACCACCGGGAGCTGAATCTCCAGGGTCCTGGGCAGTGTGGCTACCAGGTTTCAGGTCCTGGGAACCCCTGGAGGCCCAGCTGTGCCAAGTCCTGGGGGTGGGGGCCGGCAGAACTGGGGCACGCCCCACCTGGGGGTCTGGTCCCCATGGGGACCCTGCTAGACCCCTGGGCCCTCTGAATAAACAAAGGGGGGCAGCTGGGGGCCTCCCGGAGGAGACAGGTGGAGTGCCAGCCACAGCCCAGGGTGCGCAGGGCTCGGGGCACAGGCAGTTGTGGCTCCGGTGACTCCCGGCGGCCCCTGCTGACCACCCCCAGCTCCGAGCGCTCAGCCTCACCAGCCAGCGCCCCGGGTGCAAAGCTGCTCTGGCCGGGCAGGAGCTGCTGACTCATGGTGGCAGCACACAGAGAGGGCGGGCAGGGGCCCGGGACCCTGGCAGCCCACCCTGCTCAGACCTGGGTCGCTGGGCTGGGGAGGACACGGGAGGGGGCCCGGGGCTCTGCCCTTCAAACACCCCTGGTCCCTCGTGGGGTGTGACTCATGGGAGGATGACGCCCCCGGGGAGAGGAGTGAGGGGGCGCTGAGCTGGAGTAGGGCCCTCCACCTGGGGTCAGGCGCACCTTTCTGGAGGGAGCGGGAGGCTCAGGCAGGACTCTGAGGGGCGAATGGGCGGGGGGTGGGCTGGACAGGCAGACGGACTTGCAAATGCTTGGAGCAGGCTCCCCAGTGCCCCCTGAGGGGTGAGGAGGGAGCTGGGGTGCCCACAGGGCCCAAGGGGGCCCTGCAGGATAGGATCACCCCTCTGGCTGGGGGTGGGGGGGGGAGGCCTGGGGTCAGTGGTCACAGGGAGGGGTGCTGGGGGTGCAGCCTACGCGTGGGACACAACCGGCCGCCCCGTGAGAAAGGACGATGTGGACCAGACAGACCCTGGGGGGCCGCACACCTGGGGCTTGGTCGCGTCAGCCCCAGGGGAGGGGGGCATCTTGGGGTGTGGGGAGCCGAACAGGGGCAAGAACTCGGTGCCCAGCTCAGGGACCTCAGAGTTAGGGGACCGGGGTCAGGGGAAGTGGAAGCCGGCGGACCTGGTCGACAGTGACCAGGCCTAGATACGAGTCCCGTGGGCCCGCACCCTGGGGGCATGGTTAGTAAGCAGGAGACAGGGCCCCTTGGCACCCCCGTAAGACACTCGGGTCAGGAAGCCGCAGTTCAGCCTGAGCGCGGAGGCGCCGGGTCGGAGGCCCTCGTCCGCTTACAGCTGGGGCTTCTCAGACGGCGGCGCTCCCCTCCCCCCGCGTCCCCCTCTCCCCGCCCCGGGCCTTCCCGGCGGCCGCCGCCTCGGGTTTCCGGAGGGGCCGGAGGGCGGGCAGGCGGGCGGGTCGTCACGTGCGCCCGGCCCTGGGGCCGGTTGGTCCGCCGGCCGGGGTGGGACCGCGTGCCACTCCGGCCCGGGTCGGGGTCGGCGGCTCCGGAGCGCCGGAGGGAAGAACTGGGAGCGGAGTGCCAGCGCGGTGGCCCGGGGAGTCGCGCCGATCCATGAGCTCTCCGCCGCCCGCCCGCAGGGGCTTTTACCGCCAGGAGGTGACCAAGACCGCCTGGGAGGTGCGCGCCGTGTACCAAGACCTGCAGCCCGTGGGCTCGGGCGCCTATGGCGCAGTGTGGTGAGCGCAGGCCGGGCGGGTGGCGCGCCGAGGGCAGGTGGCCTGGCGGGGTGGTCGACCCTCCCGCTAAGCCGTGCGTCCCTCAGCTCGGCCGTGGACAGCCGCACAGGCGCCAAGGTGGCCATCAAGAAGCTGTACCGACCCTTCCAGTCCGAGCTGTACGCCAAGCGCGCCTACCGCGAGCTGCGTCTCCTGAAGCACATGCGCCACGAGAACGTGAGTGCGCCGGCGCCCCTGCTCGCCTCCGGGCCCCCCCGGGGTCCCTTCCAGAATCTGCCCCAGAAGACCTGTCCCTCACCCGGCCACTTGGGCATCCCCGGGTCGGGGATCAGGGCAGCATCCACAGACTGTCGGGAGCCGGAGTGCTCCAGGCGGGGAGGGCAGGCCGGGGCCTTCCCCGGGAGAGAGGTTGCTTCCTGGGCTCCAGTCCTCTCCGCCCAGGCCAGGCCCGAAGGGGCACAGCACCCACCATGCTCTCGCCGGGCCCCACCCAGCTCCGCAGCCCAGGCCCTGGTCAGGGAAGGGCCCAGGTCTCACCTCAACTTCTGTGGACCTACTTTCTGGAAGGGCCACTCGGCCTCTTCCCTGTTTCCGGGCATCTCCTGCGGCCCCAGCCCAGGTGGCTTTTCCAGCCCTTTGTGGAAGCCTCCCTGCCCCAGTCCGCCTCCCACGAGGCCTGAGGACCTGGGGACCCTGGGGACACAGGGGTAGACAGGGAATGGGAGCGGGCAGCCTGGTCCTGTCACCCAGGCACTGGGGGTCCCCGGTGAGGGACGGTTCGGGGTTGGTGCGTGAAGGGCACTGGACACAGGTCTCTGGCTGGGGTTTCGTGCACAGTGGGGAGTGGTGGATCTGGGTCCCCACCGGGAAAAGACCGGCCCACAGAACGCCGCTCTCGGCAGCGCGGGCCTCTCTGGTGGCTGTGAGGACCATCTCGGGGCAGACCCGTTGGGGCCAAGAACTCTGCTCCCCGACCCCACCCCGGCCACACCTGCCTCACTCCCCTCTGGGCCCAGGGTGAGGGCTGGTGGTGCGGGCACCCAGACCCCAGCCTCCCCTCTGGAAAAGGAGTCCCCCAGGGAACTGGTCCCCTCTTCCTGGGGTGAAATCCATTCATGGGGGACACCAGCCCAGGCTGGGCTGCACTCCCTCTGGGTCACACCTGCTCGCACGTGAGCCGTGTCCTGGCGAGGGCAGGCTCCTGCCCCAGCCCCAGCCCTCATCCGGCCTCTCGCTCACCGGCCCCCAGGCGCACCCACCCGTCCTGCTCATCCTGCCCCTGCCCTGGCGGGCCCCGCCTTGGGCCTGCGCCCCCGGGGGACTCTCCACAGTGCCAGTGGGTCCTGCCATGCTCCCCAAGCTCCTGCCCCACCAGCGGGTGGGTGCTGCCGCCCCCGCGGCACCCGCGCACAAGCGAGGAGACTCGGCCTGTCTCGGACGCCCTTTCCCGAGAGGAAACCGGCTGCAGAGGCTGAGTCCAGTGGCAGGTGGAGGAGTTGCCGGAGACCCCGCCGCCCCCCACCCCCACGGCAGGTCTCCCGCCCCTGCCTCCAGCCTCAGGCGCTGCTAAGGCATTCCCACCCCGTGGCCCCGAACCTCCAGGACTCTGTCTTCCTCTTGCTCAGCCCTTCCCGGCGCCCGGGCCCTACCTGCCTCCAGAGCCCTCTCCGGACGTCCCACCCGCCCCCTTCCCTCCTGCCTGCTGTGGCTCTGCCCCCGGAGGCCACGGTGCTCACGTGGCCACGCCCTCACCTCGGGGGCCCCCCTCGCCCCGCCGTGGTCTGGTGTGATGCCTGCGTCAGCCCTTCCCCCTCGGCTGTGGGACCGAAGGGAAGCCTGGGTCCGGCGAGCGAGGCCCGCTCGGGCTCCCTCTGGCCTCTGCTTGGCTCTCCCGGGCCCGGGCCTTGGCCACCCGGCCTCCCTCCCCGTGCTCCTCGCACGCTCCGAGGGCTCTCCCTTCTGCCTCCGCCACCATTCTCGTGGCCCCGGCCGGGTGTCGTCCCCCCCCCGCCCCTGCCCCCACGGCACACCTGCCCGTCCCTCTGCTTGCTGCTCGAATGCGCAGGCCCCCCGGGTCCCTGTCGCCCTGAGCCCCGGGCCCCAGGTGCCACGTTCCCTGTCTGCTGCCCCTCGCCCCCACCAGGGGTCTGCGGGCCCAGGCCTGACTGTTGGGTTGGTCACAGCGCTGCCTCTCCGGGCCTCCCCCACAGAGGCCCAGCCCCGGGAAGTACCTGCCGGATGTTGGCTCTCCCCCGGGAGGCTGTCCCCACCCCGGTCCCAGGTTTTCAATGGGGACAGGAAGACGGGGAGGGAGGGAGGGCCAAGGAACTGGAGCTCCTTGGACCGCCGGGCGCGGATCCAGACTCAGGGCCGCCCTTCCCCCAGAGGATCCCAGCTGTCACCGGCCAAAAATAGCCCGCGTCTGGGGCAGGTGTGCCAGGCCGGGCGGTGCTGCCAGCGGGCAGAGCCGGCGCTGTGGACAGTGGGGGAAGACGAGGACAGCTGTGGGGGACTTTCCTGCCTGGAGCACAGTGCCAGCCGGGCGGGTGGCCCACCCATCCCACCTGGTGCCCTGGCCTCCTCCCCAGGTGATCGGGCTGCTGGACGTGTTCACGCCCGACGAGACCCTGGATGATTTTACAGATTTGTGAGTGCCAGCCTGGGGCTGGCTGGGCAGGGCGGGTGGGTGTTGGGTCACCCCTGGGTGCCCGTTTGGGGCTCTGGGTTGGCATGAGGGCCAGCAGGAGGCAGGCGTCCCCCTGTAGCCGGGATGGGGGTGGGAAGGCACCCCCCCACCCCATCCCCATCTTCACACCCCAGTCCACTCCCCTCCACGTGCCACCGGGACCCACGACACTGGCACGGCCAGGTGGAGCCCTGGCCTCCACTTCTCGTCACGCCGGGCACCGGGCTGTGTCTGGGACTGGAGGTGTGACCCTTGGACCTGGGGTTTGTGAGCCGGCAGGTCCCAGGCTCTGGGCCAGGCACTAAGTGTGCGGCCGTAACTGGAGCTGCTGACCTTGGCTGGAGGGCGGCAGGGCGCCTGCCCCCGGGGCAGCAGCCCCTGGGCTCCCGCTGCTGATGGCCAAGAGCCAGGGTCCCGGCCTGTGAAGGGCGGGAGGACCGGCCTCCTGCTGCCTGGCCTTGCAGAGGTCGAGGGCCCGCGCTGGCTGCACTGTCCAGGCTGCACTGTCCAGGCTGGGTGCTGAGGGCTCCGCCCCTCCGTCTCCCTCCACCCACCCAGCCTGGCTCCGGACCCCGATGTCCTGCTGTCCCACAGGCACTTCCCTCCCCCCACTGTCAGCACAGACGTCCCCAGACCCTCAGCAGGCACAGTCCCTGCCCGTCCTGGGGAGTGGGGATGCTTGGGAGGTGGGCATGGGGGTCTTTCGGGGCCTGAGCCGGCCCTGCCCCACAGCTACCTGGTCATGCCGTTCATGGGCACCGACCTGGGCAAGCTCATGAAGCTGGAGAAGCTGAGCGAGGACCGGATCCAGTTCCTCGTGTACCAGATGCTGAAGGGGCTGAAGGTGAGGGTGAACTGGTGGGGGGCGGGGAGGCTGCTGGCTGGCCTGTGGCTGTGAGGCACCAGCGGGTGGACACGCTGACCCTCTCTCTGTCCCCACAGTACATCCACGCTGCCGGCGTCATTCACAGGGTGAGTCCCGGAGCTGGTGGGAGCTTCCCCCATGCGTGTGGGCATTCAAGGGGCTCGACTCCTGGGAGCCTCTGGTTCTCCCCGCAGGGGGCATGAGGGGGTCCCGTGGGGAGGCCACGCAGCGTCTGCACACAGCCCTGGGGCCCGGGCACCCCCTGCCCTCCCCAGTCTGCCTGCTCCCGGGCTCAGCCGCTGCCCCGGCTCCTGCCCCTGCGCCCCCACGGGCGGGCCACACAGCCACCTCTCCTCTGCCTGCAGGACCTGAAGCCCAGCAACCTGGCGGTGAATGAGGACTGTGAGCTGAAGGTGAGTGTCCGGTGCAGCTGGGCCCCCTCCCACCATCCCGCCTGCCCACGGCGCTCTTGGTCCTCGAACCTGGAGGAGGGCTGGCTGTGAGCCTGTGGCCCAGCGGCTGATGGCCAGATGCACCCTGGGGAGGCACTTGATGGGGCAGCATGGGGCCCATTCCCGCACCTGCCTGAGGTGAGGGGCAGGAGGCAGCCCCCAAGTGCCTCCTGCCTGAGCCAGGGAGGGCCCAAAAGGCCTCCTCAGAGGTGCCTGCCAGGACCTAGGGGGTCAGCAGGGAGTGGAGGACCAGGGAGAGGAGACCCCTGGGGTGCGGGGTCCCAAGGCGGGTTCTGTGGGGCTGGGTGCACTGGCTGGGCGGGCACCCACGGGGAGGCTGTGGCTCTGTGGCTGTGACCCCAGGCCCCAGAGGGCTGGCAGGAACCCCGGTGTGCACAGTCCCTGGGGGCCCCCCGGACCATGGGCTGGCCCACTCACTCACTCCCCGGGGGCCCCTCTGCCCCGCCCTCCCGATTCTGGCCGCAGATCCTGGACTTCGGCCTGGCCAGGCAGGCAGACAGCGAGATGACTGGGTATGTGGTGACCCGGTGGTACCGGGCACCTGAGGTCATTTTGAACTGGATGCACTACACGCAGACAGGTGAGAGACTGCCCAGAGATGGGGCTACCGCCCGGGCACCCCACCTTCCCGGCCCGAGGCTGCTCCTCTGGAGCCCGCCGAGGTGGGATGGAGCTAGGAGGGTGTGGCAGGCCAGATGGCCCCTATGTCCATGTCCCCCCGTGCGTCCCTCCCCCGGCCCACAGAGCCCTGACGAGGGGCCTTCTGTCTCAGTGGACATCTGGTCTGCGGGCTGCATCATGGCTGAGATGATCACAGGGAAGATACTGTTCAAGGGCAACGACCGTATCCTGCACCTGTGGGGCCCGGCGGGCTGGGCGGGGCTCAGGGGCTCATCCGGCACCTGCGGGGCCCGGCGGGTCGGGGGGCGGCTGGGTGCCTTGTCCAGGCTGGGGGGGGGGCGGTGCTAAGCCCTGCACCCTAGCCCACGTTGAGCTCCTGAGCTCGGCTGAGACCTGGACCAGCTGAAGGAGATCTTGAAGGTGACAGGGACACCCCCGGACGACTTCGTGCAGAGGCTGAAGAGTGCCGATGTCAGTGGGGGCTGGGCAGGGGCTGGGGGGCCCCGGCCAGGCCCAGGGGCCGGCCCCTCACTGTTTCTTCCTGCCCAGGCGAAGGACTACATGAAGGGCCTCCCCGAGCTGGAGAAGAAGGATTTTGCCTCCATCCTGACCAATGCGAGCCCTCTGGGTAGGGCCGGACTCGGGGGAGCGTGGGCTCAGTGGCCGGGTGTGGGGTGTGGCGCCCCCCCCTGCCCACGCTGACCCGCCCTCCCGGCAGCCGTGAACCTCCTGGAGAAAATGCTGGTGCTGGACGCGGAGCGGCGGGTGACGGCGGCCGAGGCGCTGGCCCACCCCTACTTCGAGTCGCTGCAGGACGCGGAGGACGAGTCCAAGGCCCAGAAGTACGACGAGTCCTTCGATGACGTGGACCGCACGCTGGACGAGTGGAAGCGTGAGTGGGGGCTCTGGGCGGGGCCTGCGGCCCCGTGGACCGTGCACAGGTGGCCGGGCGAGGGACACAGCAGGAGGTCAGAGGGCAGTGGGGCATCCTGGCCAGGTGACCTCTGGCCGGAGCCGAGGGATGGAAGGAAGGGCGTGGAGGCACACGCAGGAGCCTGAGCTGAGCTCTGGGGTTCACCGCGGCCAGCCCAAGCGCGGGGCGGCTGTGAACACCTCGTCTCTCTGGCCAGGCCGGCTCCTCCACACCCGCCTGTCCCCAGGCCTCTGCTCACTCCTCTGGAACTCGCCTTCTGCTTGTCCCTGTCACCTGGACAACTGCACACCCCTCGTGTCCTACCCGTGGGGTGAGGGCCACCCGGCCCGCCCACGGCACCTTGCCCCTCCCGGCCGGCGCCCTCCCGCCCTCTGAGCAGTTCAGACCCCGGCACTGTTCCTCACCTCCAGGCTTTGCACCGGCCAGACCCTCACACCCGGCCCCTCCTCTCATTTCTGGGGGTCAAACTACACCTCCTCAGCCTCACGCCGGGGTCAAGGGTGGCTCTGCAGTCAGGCCCCAGGCCTCCCTCAGCTGTGGCCCAGACACCCCGTGCTGGACCTGGCCTTGTCCGTCTGTCCTCCATCTGTCCGTTTGTTCCCATGGCGGGCCATGGGGGCTGGGCCAGGTGCCTTCCGGTGGCTGCTGGAGCTGCCTGGGGGTTCAGGGATCCCCGAGGGCAGCAGCTAGCACCACTGGGACCACCTCACATGGCTGCCACGGTCATAGGCCTCTCCTGACTCTGCCTCAGACCCAGGGCCTTAGTCCTCCTGCACTGGGGGTGCGGGCGGGGCCAGACCGGTTGTGGTTCCCGAACCATCTTTCCTTAGAACCACCGGGGTCCTTGACGGCTTCAGCAGGGGCTCCAGCCTTATCTGTGCTGTTTTGTGTTTGTAAGTTTGGTTTGATGAAAGTTTTCTGTTGCTAAAAAAAGAGCTCATCAAACCACGGGCCACAGGATCCTCTCTGTGGTCCCCGCCCACACAAACCACGCTGAGAGCTTTGCTTTGACTGCAGCCCAGGGCGGACACGTGGCATGTTTGTGGCTGAGCCCCAGGTCAGGATGCAAGCTTTCATCGCCTCCCGTTTCCCTGGGAAAAGCCAGCTCTGCGGCAGGGCCTCTTCCCACACCCCTTCCCTGTGCCGGTGGCCCCCACTGTGGGGTCGGAGGGAATGCACACACTTAGCCGCAGGCAGAGCAAACCCCACAGACCCTCTAATGGCAGTGTGTCCTGAGCTGGGCTGGGGGAGGACTGTGTCCCCCAGACTGGCACCCCCCTAGCCAGCTGAGCATGAAAGGCCGGGGTGGGCAGAGTGGAACCTGCCCGTTTGCAGACTGGGCGGAGGCAGGTGGAGCAGGCCCCCCTCCCCCGCCTTGAGATGGCTGGCTCCAGGCACACAGCGCAGGGAACGTGGCCACCTGGCAAGGAAGGCGGACACTTGGGGTCGTTGGTGGGGATTCCCCTGGGTACTCTGGATCCAGGGACTGGGCGGTGTCTCCATGGGCCCTCGAGCAGTGGCCTGGGTGAGCACACGGGTCATGTTGTTTGTCCACAACGGCGGGCTGTGGGGCCGCGGCCTCGGGGACAGAGGTTCTGAGCTCCAGGAGCGCCCTCAGAGGGGACAGGCGCTGTGGACGAACTCTGGCGGGCTGACAGGGACTGTGGTCTGGGAGGGAGCCACATGGAGGGGACAAAGGAGCCCACCTGGCGGCCACACCCCAGTGGTGACCTCTGACCCCGAGGTTTTGGGGGCAGTGGCCTCCTAGTCAGTGGTTGGGCCTGGGAGCTCTGCCCACTACCACTCTGAGTGGGGTCTTCCGACACTCCTCGCTGGGCAGGGCGAGCACTGGTAGGCTGGCCCCGTGCTTACCCCAGGGCGCTGTTGCTGGACGTGGTGCGAGCTAGGGGGGTTGATTCTGATGGGTGGCTGGGGCCCTTCTCTCATGACTCCCCATCTCTCCCACACCCCACCCCAGGTGACACGTACAAAGAGGTGCTCAGCTTCAAGCCTCCCCGGCAGCTGGGGGCCAAGGCCTCCAAGGAGACGGCCCTGTGAAGACCCTGGGCCCTGAGGGTGGTGGGGACGCTGTGGGGACCCTGGCGGGGGCTTCCACCCGGAAGAGAGATGCGGTGACCTCGGCTGGTGCTTGCGTCCCAGGAGACTCCTTATTCCAAGCCTGTGACCCTGCTGTCAGGCCCCACCTCAGCCTCACCTTGGAGGAGCATTTGGACTTTCTGGGCCGGACCCTGCCCCCTGGGCCCGCGCTGGCCTCTGAGCCCCTGAGCAGCCGTCCCCTGAGCAGGCGGCTGCAAGAGGCCTCAGAGCCTTCGGAGTGGGGTGGGGGTGGGGGGCTCGGGGTCGAGGCCTGGCCTCGGACCCTGCCTGCTCTGGACCGTGCTGAGGCCCAGCACACGCGGCTGGGAAGGAAGGACAGGGAGGGCGCAGGCGCTGACTCAGGGTCTTCTCTCCTGGGGGGGCGGGCGCTGGTGTGGGTTCTCCTGCATGCCCAGCCCGGAATGTAAGCTGTCCTCGTGTGCCCACAAGGCTGGGAGGAAATAAACCCTTTTGTAGCGCTTCCACTCTGGCTTCACTTCCTGATTCCTGGGCTGGACCTCCGCCTTTAGGCGTCTGAGCTGCAGCCTTACGCAGGGGAAGGAGGCCAGCCTGGGAGCCTCAGCCCTGCTTCCTGGGCCACAAAGCTGGTGCCCACTTCCCCTGGCCTGTGCCAGGGAGCCCAGAGCCTGGAGCTTTTAAGGTGGCCTTCCTCTAATGGCTTGGATTCTGGAGCCCGACCTTGGGGCAGGGCCTGATGAGAATTGGGGTGGTTAGGGTCCAACCTGGGGCTCACTCCCAGCCGTTTGAGTCCTTGCTCTCTCCAAGACCAGGTTCCTAGGGAGGGGGAGCCATGCTGGACGGGAAGAGGCACCCCAAGCCTCGGGCCTGGTGTGTCTGGAGAGAAGGGTTTCTGTTCTCTCTCACGGCCACTTCCCAGCGCCATCGCCGAGCCCACAGGGCCCTCTGCTGGCCATTCGACGTCTTCGAGAGTCGGCAGCGCAGTCGGTAGCCACTCCAGGGCTCCAGCGGCCGCCTTGGCTCCTCCCACCTGTCCCCGCCTTGGCTCCTCCCACCTGTCCCCGGAGTAGGTGCCCCCGAAGCGGGCCAGGGGGTTCTCCCGGCCTGGAGTTGGGCTGGGCACAGGCTGGCCAGAGGAGTTGCCGCCGCGGACACCGGCCTTCTCTTCCAGAGGTCTTCCCGTGCTTTTGGGACAGACTCCTGCTGGGGCCCTCTGCTCTGCAGCAGCCAAGTAAGGCCTCCGGCCGCTGACCACGCCCCCGTAGACACGTGTCCCAGGACGGCCAATCAGAGCACGTCATTCCCTAGCCCCGCCGTGATTGGAGTGCACCTGACCCCAAATGACCTGTTTGGAGTCTTCCCAGAGCCCCTTGTAGGGTCGGGACGACCTAGGATCGCGACGGGGGAGCACCCTAGCTCTAAGGCGCTACCTCCCACCAAGGCCCTGCCCAGGACCACGCCCCCAGGGTTCCATCTCCCACCACGCCACGCCCACGCCCCTCCTCCGAGAGACCCGCCCCCAGAGCCCACTTCCAGAGCCCAGCGGTTCGGGCTCCCGGCTCCTGCGGTACTCGCAGGCTTCGCTGGCTTCATTCATCATTCAGTCGTCCACCCCTCGCCCAGACCCTCTCTCCGCCCGCCTTTCCTGCGCCCCACGCTGCCGCGTCTCCTGGCCAGCTTGCCGCCAGCTCTTTGGCCGGGGACCCTCCTGGAGCTTAAATCGGACCTTTGTCACTTCCTTCTTAAACCCCGGGGGCAGCGCCCTGTAGCGGGCAGCCCAGGCCAGGCCCCGGGCGACGGGGCGCTCTCCTGCCGCGCGGCCTGCCTCCTGAGGCCCCGGATCCGTGCTCCTTCCCTCGCTGCTGCTCCTGGAGCCCGCATGGGTCTGGGGGTGTTGGGGTGCAGGGGCACCGTCCATGGCACGCTGTGTGACCGCCGAGACTTCCGCGTGGGTCCGGGCACACTAGCCCTCGGCCCTCACTCGCGTCCCCTCTTATCGCTAAAGGGGAACGAGGCCGGCGACCCGCCCGGCTCCAGGTAGGAGGAGCTGGAGCGGCGAGGGGGCGGGACGGCTCCAGTGCGAGTCTCGCAGGAAGCCGGAAGCCTGACCGTAGGTGCCACCTTGCCGACCTCCACTCCGTCCCAGCCGGGCTGTAGCCTTGGGACTCCTTCCTGCCTGGGCGCTGCGTGCTCCTGCCCAGGCTGGGTGCTGGCCGCACTCGCTGTGGCCACACGTTCGCTGCTCCCTGGGGCTGCAAGGTGAGGACGGACAACGCAGTCAACCCGGGCTGGGCGTCCGGCCCTCGCACCCACGTCTGAGCCATGAGGACGGCACTCGTGTACCACGAGGACATGAAGGCCGCCAGGCTGCTCTGGGACGAGTAAGTGTGACCTGGCAGAGGTGCGGGCTGGGGAGGGGACCCTTGAGTCTGAGCTCTCTGTCCACTCAGTCCCGAGTGTGAGATCGAGTGTCCTGAGCGCCTGACCACTGCCCTGGGACGCCTGCAGCAGCGGGGCCTGGAGCAGAGGTGTCTACGATTGACGGCCCGAGAGGCCTCGGAAACGGAGCTGGGCCTGGTGCACAGGTCAGACCCGGGGGGAGGCCACAGGTCCTGGAGGACACACCCTGGGACCTGAGCCCACCCCCTGCCAGCCAGTGCCCCACAGCCAGTGCCCCTCCCCCAGAGCCTCACCACTGGGTGGGTGGGTGGGTGAGGGAGCAGTGAGGTGGGCGGTCCTCCCCTCTCCAGGTCCGCTGGTGACTCTGCTTTGCCTCCCTGCCCCCCCTGCAGCCCAGAGTATGTGGCCCTGTTGCGGGGGACCCAGGCCTTGAGCACGGAGGAGCTCCAGGCACTGTCGGGACGGTTCGATGCTGTCTACTTCCATCCGGTGTGTACCCTGGGACACGCCCCCCACCCATCCTCATGCCTGCTCATGGCCATGGCCGCCCACCTGCCCAGTGTCCCTGTGTTCATGGACGTGCCAGTGCCTTGCACACCTGCTGCTGCTGGCACCTGGGACTGTCCTGGCCCGTTGCACTCAGCACTTGGTGTCTTGCGGCCTGGCACAGACCTGGGCAGAGTCTGTGGGGAGCAGCCGGTGCGGGGTTCATCTGCTCCCCTGCCCCAACAGAGTACCTTCCACGGTGCCCGGCTGGCCGCGGGGGCTGGGCTGCAGCTGGTGGACGCAGTGCTGACGGGGGCTGTGCACAACGGGCTTGCCCTGGTGAGGTGAGAGCTGCCCCTCTGCCCTGGCTGCCCCCCCCCATGTGGGCACAGGAGGACCCTGACATGCCCCATGCCCCCTCTCGCCCTCAGGCCTCCTGGGCACCACAGCCAGAGGGCCGCCGCCAATGGATTCTGTATGTTCAATAATGTGGCCATAGCGGCCAAGCACGCCCAGCAGGAACATGGGCTGCACAGGTGTGTGCTGGGCTGGCTGGCTGCTGGCGGGGGTGGGGGCCCTCACGGGGAGGGCTGAGAGGAGCAGGCTTCTCTAAGACACACCCAGTCCCTCCCCACCCTGGGCGGGGCCCTGTCCCCCCTGCACCACGAGCCCAGTGCTGTGTGTCCCCAGGATCCTCATTGTTGACTGGGACATCCATCATGGCCAGGGCATCCAGTATATTTTTGAGGACGACCCCAGGTGAGTTAGGGGTGGGGATACAATCCTTCACCTTGACCCCGCTCTTTGGGGCACACGGCCTGGCCTGGGAAATTCCTAGCTGGACGTAGCTGTGTGCTCAAGGGTTGGGGTTCTGTGAGGGGCCATGGGGCTGTGCTTCCTAACCTCTGACCTTTGACCCCGACTGGTTGTCTGCAGTGTGCTTTACTTCTCCTGGCACCGCTACGAGCACGGGCGCTTCTGGCCCTACCTGCCAGAGTCCGACGCAGACGCCGTCGGGCAGGGGCGGGGCCGAGGCTTCACGGTCAACCTGCCCTGGAACCAGGTGCTGCCCTCCCCACCCGCTCCTGCCCCCCACCCCGATCCCCCGCCCCACAGCTCTGGGCCTCCGGAGTGTCGTCCAGGGTGTCTGTCCAGGGCCACCCCCGGAGCCTGGGCTGCGGGGGTGCAGGCCCCACGGCCCGCCCCGGCAGGGCCCAACGCCGGTGCTTGTGGCTGCAGGTCGGGATGGGAAACGCAGACTACGTGGCCGCCTTCCTGCACGTGCTGCTCCCTCTGGCTCTCGAGGTGAGTATGCGGGGGGGCTGCCTCGACCGCAGGAGGGAGGGGGCGGCTTAATGCCCAGAGTCCCCCCACCCCCCGCCACGGGCACAGAATGAGGGTGGGAGGGGTCTCTCTAAGGGGTCTGCCCTTCACCCCCTCTCTGCAGTTTGATCCTGAGCTGGTGCTAGTGTCAGCAGGATTCGACTCAGCGATCGGGGATCCCGAGGTGAGGGCCTGGCCTGGCCTGGCCGGGAGGGCCCCTGGCGTCCAGCAGCCGGGCCCGTCACACCTGGCTCTGGTTCCAGGGGCAGATGCAGGCCACGCCAGAGTGCTTCGCCCACCTCACGCAGCTGCTGCAGGTGCTGGCTGGCGGCCGGGTCTGCGCCATGCTGGAGGTGACTGTGGCCACAGGGAGGGTCCACGGGCCAGAGGCTGAGGGTCAGTTGGAGAGGCCTGTTGCCCCGGTGACACCCTGCCCTCCTGCCTCTTCCCAGGGTGGCTACCATCTGGAGTCGCTCTCTGAGTCCGTGTGCATGACGGTGCGGGCCCTGCTGGGTGACCCCGCCCCACCCCTGTCAGGGCCCATGGTGCCATGTTACAGGTGCAAGGGGTAGGAGGCTGGGAGGCTGGGGGGTGCAAGGCCAGGCCTCACTGCCGCTCCTGCCTCTCCCTGCAGTGCCTTGGAGTCCATCCAGAGCGTGCGGGCAGCCCATGCCCCTCACTGGCTGAGCCTCCAGCAGCAAGGTCAGTGTGGCCTGGGCCGGGTGGTGGGATTGTACCTCGGGCTTCCACAACGTGGTTGTGACTCCGAGCCACTTCCTAGACTCCGCCCCTGTCCTGAGTCCCAGCACCTGCTCCCCGGAGGGGAGGCCCTCGCCTCTGCTGCCTGGGGGCCCTGAACTGAAGGCTGCAGCAGCCCAAGCCACAGTGGCACTAAGGGCCCTCCTGGACCAGCTGCACCTGCGCCCCACACCACCTGTCCGCACAGCTGTTGCTCTGACTCCCCTGGACACTGCCCTGGTCCTGCCCCCCAATGTCCTCCATCAGGAGGGGTCAAGCCCAAAGGAGGAGACACAGGCCTGGGCCAGGTGGGCAGAGTGGGCCTGGGGAGAGAAGTGGGGCCGTGCCCACCACGCACCCTCGCATGACTCGCCTGTGACCCGTGCGTCACCCGGTGTCTGTGTTCCTCTGGCTTGCCCACCCCAGGCTACACGAGGCCCTGGCCACGGAGGAGGCTGTCACTGCCCTTGGGAAGATCCTGTATCTCTTGGATGGGATCTTGGATGGGCAGGTGGGGGCACCAGGAGGGGCTGGGGATGGCTGTGGAGCTGCCCATGATAGGTGGCCTGTCCAGGGGAGGGATGGGGGTGCAGGACCAAGTGAACATGAGTGTGGCCTTGTGCCTGGGACCCTTCCCAGGAGAGCCCCTAGAGAGTCCCGAGCGGTCCCTTGGCCCCCTCAACTAAATGCTCTTTGGCAAAGGAGGGAAGGCGGAGACTTTAAATGGTTTTAAGCACCTTATTTTCAGAAATGGGGCGATTTGACCTCAGTGCACAGATGACAGCCACAGAGACAGGGACCAAGGGAAGAATTGAGGATGGGTCTGTTGACCTGGCTTGGGAGTGGCCCTCCCCTGCTTGTATCCACCCCACAGGTGAGCAGCGGCCTCGCAGCCACCCTGGCCCCGGCCGCAACGGCCATTCTGGACGTGGCCCTCCGGCACGGCCTTTCCCGGGGAGCCCAGAGGTGAGCTGCAGCTGGCTGGCCTGAGCGTGTGAAGGCGTGGCTTGTGGGCATCCTCACCCTGGCTGGGCCCCGGGGGCCGGGGGGCGGGGGGGCGGGATCTGAGAACGGACTCCTAGTGGGGAGAGTACTGCCCGTCCTGGGACCACCTTTCCTTGTAGGCTTCTCTGCGTGGCCGTGGGACAGCTGGATCGGCCATCGGACCTTGCTGACGATGGGTATGCCCCTTGGGTCATGTGTACATCCAGTCCTGCCTGTGGGTGGGTCCCCGGGAGAGATGGGTGGGTGGGCCAAGGGCCCTGGGAGCAAGGCCAGGAGGGTCTCCAGCACAGAGGGTGAGCCCTCCCAGGACCCCTACCCGCAACCTCTCCTGCACCTCCCCCTCTGTCACCCTGGCTCTGGAGGGTGGGTACCTCACTCACACCACTCCTGTCCATATGCCCACCTTCCCCTGGAAGGAGGACTCTGTGGCTGAGCGTCAGGGGCAAGGAGGCAGCTGCCCTGTCCATGTTCCATGTCTCCATGCCACTGCCGGGGGTGAGTGTCGGCGTCCCGGGGGCAGGCTGTGGCTGCTCACTGGCATCATCATGAGGGCCAGGCCCCTGGCCTTTCACCCACCCTTCCTGGCTTCCTGATGGTGTGGCCGCCCACCTGATCCTTGGAGGTGGGGTGGCCTGAGCTGGTGGGAGGGGTGTCGCCAGCATGAGGGGAGGGGGCTATGCTGCTGTCCCTCACACAGACGACTGGTGGGTTCCTGAACTTTGTCCTGGCGCTGGTGCTGCCCCTGGCCTATGGCTTCCAACCCGACCTGGTGCTCCTGGCCTTGGGGCCAGCCCACGGCCTGCGGGAGTCCCAAGCTGCATTGCTGGCGGCGCTGTTGCGGGTGCCGGCAGGGGGCCGAGTCTTGGCCCTCCTGGTTGAGGTGAGGTGGGCAGGTGGATGTGCTGTGGGGTGGCAGACGGGGAGACAAGTGATTCACCGCTTTACTCTGCCCCTGGCCCAGGAATCCGCACCCCAGCTGGCAGGCGTCCTGGCCCAGGTGCTGCATGGAGAGGCGCCCCCCAGCCTGGGCCCTTTCTGCGTGGCCTCCCCAGGGGACAAGCAGGCCCTGATGCACCTGAGAAGGCAGCTGGAGTCTCGGTGGAAGATGCTGCAGGTGGCCGGTGAGACTAGGGGATACGGCTTACACGGAATGCCTGGGACCCTGGGGGACAATCCTGCTTTAGAGCTCCGTGTGGACAGGGGCTGCGTCCTGAGAGCGGGGCGCTGCCCTGAACCGGCACAGCAGTGCCAAGCGGATTGCGCGCCTCTTCGCAGCTCCCGCTTGAGTGCTGCTGACCTGGCTGCTTGACACCAGCCAGGGTGGAGGTATTTGCACCCTGGAAATGACACCGCAGACCGGAGCCCGCTGTTAAACATTATTCACTGGCACACCGGGGCCTCGTTCCCGACGTCCCGCGCGCGGGCGCAGGTTCAGGAGCGTTTGTCGGCTGCAGAGTCCGCACCCCGTGCACCCGCCTCCACACGGAAGGCCCCGCCCCGGCTCCCTCCGCTCCAATCAGTAAACGTTTACGCGAAAGTCTGACTCCGCCTCCGTTATTGCGCCCGCTGCGTCCGGCCTCAGCGTTCCCACTCGCGGGATTGGGGCCCCAAGCCGGAAGTGCGCTGCCGACGGCGGCCACCAAGGCCCCGCCCCCTTCACGCAGGTCACCGCCCACCTCCGTTACGCAATTCCCGCGCGCCGGCTCCCGCGGTTTGGCAGGGCGCGCAGCAGTGACGTGCGGCGGCGGGAGCTGCAGCCGCGCGCGCTGCCCCGGCCGAGGTGTGGTGAGAGGGCAACCCTGCGGCTTGACCCCGCGGACCCTTCCCGGTCCCCGCGGACCGTCCACGGGCGGCGTCTCTCCTGGCCGCCCCTTTTCGGGCCCCGGGAGAGTGCGGAGCTGTCGCGTCCGCTGCGTACGGCGCGCGCGCGTGTCCTGCGGTTTGTCGCGCTTCTGTGAGCGCGGCGGGTTGCGGACCGCTGCGGGCCCGCCGGCGGGGGCAGGGCCACCGCGGGCCCGGTTTCATTCCAGTTCGGATCCTTCTGCCGCCGTCGAGAAGGCCTCCTGCCTGTCGGCCCAGTCGGCCCCGCCCCCGGCTGTCAGGCCTCGGGGAGCCGAGAGCGGTGGGCATGGCCAGCATCACGCAGCTGCTGGACGACCTGTGCGAGGCCCTCCTGCCGGCCGCGAAGGCTCACCTGGGCCAGCGCGGCCCGAGCCGCAGGAGAGCGAAGCAGAGCCTCAAGCGGGTGGCCTACAACGCTCTGTTCGCAAATCTTTTCCAAGACGAGGCTCCCAAGCTGCAGCCTGACCCCCCAAGACTCCCCGTGAAAAACAAGATCCTCATGCTGTCCTTCGACCTGAGAGTGGGCGGCCTGGGCCCCGAGGCCGACCGGCTGGAGGAGCTCGTGGAGAAACTCGAAGCAGCCCCTGGCTGCCCGCTGGTGGAGGTGGGGTCGGCTTTGGACCTGCTGGTGCAGCTGGCGGGCAGTGGGCCCCCGCAAGTCCTGCCCCGGAAGCGGGACTACTTTTTCCACAACAAGCACGTCGGCAGGAACGTGCCCTACAGCGGCTACGACTGCTATGACCTGAGTGTGTTCGAGATGGACGTGCAGACTCGGATCTCCAGGGAGGAGTATCTGTGTCAGGACGCGATCCAGAAGGCGCTTCAGGTGATGGAGGCCGCGCCGGGCACCGGCCTGCCCACTGCCCAGCTCTTCTCGTATGGTGAGCCCTGTGGTGACAGGTTTGAGAGGGACACCCGCCTGTCGCTCTTCGGAGCCCTTGTGCACAGTCGCACCTACGACATGGACGTCCGCCTGGACTTGCCCCCGGTGCCGGACAGCGCGGACCTCTGCGGACTGACCATAAAGGTAGGGTGCAGCTCTCCTGCCCCTGGGCCCCACCCCCGGGCCCTTGGAAGTGCCTCCCTGACTTTCCTGTTGTCACGGGAGGGGTAGGACAGCTGTGGAGTGCCCGCCACTCGGTGGCTGCGCCGTGGTGAGGCCGGTGCTGGCGCCCACCTTCCAGGGCAAGGACGCAGCTGCACCCCTGCAGGTACCTGGTAGGACATGTCGCTAAGTTGCTCATTCTGTCCCCTAGAGGTGCTCCTTAAGCCTAAGTTAGTTATTACTATTATTATTACTTAAGATTTTATGTATTTATTTTTAGATAGAGGGGGGAGGAACATCCATGTGTGGTTACCTCTCTCACGCGCCCCCTGCTGGGGACCTGGCCTGCAACCCAGGCCTGTGCCCTGACTGGGAATCGAACCCGTGACCTTGCGGTTTGCAGGCCCGCGCTCAGTCCACAGGGCCACACCAGCCAGGGCCTAAGTTAACTAAGGTGAGGTAAAAAGTTTTGTTCCTCGGTTGCATACGCCACATTTCAAGTGCTTAGCAGCCACATGTGGCAAAAAAAAAAAAAAAAAAAGAATGCTTGTTCCTACTGCCCACGCAGCTTTCGGTGCTTTTCCGCACCTTTAACAAGGGCTTCTCCTACGGGATGAAGCGTGTCGGCCTCGGGCCTTGTGCTCTATGGCTGCGTGCGTGTCCCCGGAGGGCGCGCCCCCGTTGGCCCCTTGCTCCGAGACGCCCGGGGGGTTTGCAGGCTCAGACGGGGCTGCAGCGAGCAGCCTGGCCTACGCCGGTTTTTCTGTCTCTAGTGCGGTTCCTGTGCGGGGTTCCCCCAAACGGAATTTGCAGGTTGGACGCATTTCGTTGCACGGCGTGTCGGGGCTTACGTGTTGCATGGAATCGTGAACTGATAACCTTTGTGGTTTAAGTTCAATTCCTTAGACGGTTTAATGGATACGAAAACACGGTAGTAGTGCGTGCGTGCCAGAGAGAGAAGCAGGGAGGCGTTCTGCCGGGCCTTTCCCGGGTGAGCGAGCGCGTGAAGTCCTGCGCCTCCATCGCACGGGCGAGGCTGAGACCCAGAGGCACACGTGCTGGTCCCTTCCTCCCCTGTCCCCAGGTGCCTCAGAGCGTGGATCCGTCCGAAGATGAAGGGTTCCAGTCGGCATCCAACCTGACCCCCGACTCCCAGTCTGAGCCGGGCACGACCCCCGAGGTCGACCTGTGGGACGCGGCGCTCACCTACGAGCCCAGCAGGCAGAGGTGCTGGGAGCACGTCGGCTGGTGCGTAAGCTTTGCCGTCGTCGGAGGCGCTGGCCTCCTCCGGCGCGTGGGTTAGGGCACGCGCTGCCCGAGAGCCCCGGCAGCTCTGGCAGAAGCTGCTGGGACGGGACGGGGGGCTTGGAAGTCCTGGTTGGGGGAGGGCGCAGCCTTGTCTCTGCCCTGGGAGTTGGCAGAAGTGCTTGGGGCGGGGACTCCGGGCTTCACGGAGGCCGGCAGCTCCGCAGATCACACTCTGCAGTGAGAGCGTCCCTCGCACCTGAGTTCGCGTCCTCCCCAGGAGGGCTCCCAGCCCGAGGCGTCCGGGGGCTCCTGGCTGGCAGTGTGGCCGCAGCTGGGGGGAGACAACCCGTGCCCACCATCGTGCACGTGTGGGAGGACGGGCGTGCTGCTGCCCCCCGGCCGGCTGTGGTCCTGGCAGCGCCCTGACCGCCGCTTCTCCGGGTCTAGGGCCTCTGCCGCGTCTCCAGAGCTCATTCCCGTCTAACCCCAGCCACCCTCGGGCGGGCGGGGAAGCTGAGCTCCCGCCAGAAGCAGAGCCCCCTGTCCACCCGCACCCCAGGGCTGTGAGCGCTGCCCCTGCACCCGCCCTGGAGCCGGTCGGTCCACAGGACGTCCTCTGCTGCTGCTCCGCCCTGCCAGCCACTCTGGGGGAGCCGCTCCCTCCGTCAGGGGCTGAGTTTCGGCGGGGGCGGGCAGGGATTTGGTGGGTCCCGCACGGGCTCTTCTCCTTCTGTGTCGAGTCAGGGGGCCACCCTGGAAGAGGGGGCAGGAGCTCCCCTGTGCTCGGCCGGTGGCGAGGGGTGAAGGGCGCAGCACAGGGCATCGTCGGCAAGCAAGCACGAGACTTGAACGCGTCCTGAGATGTGGTGCTCGCGAGCCCCGGGCGCGGCGCCAGCGAGGAGGCGGAAGCGGGCCGGGGCTCCGAGTCTCGTCCACAGGAGGATGCCCCCCGCAGCCTGAGGCCCGTTTCCCGCCCCGTGGAAAAGGAGTTTTGTCTTTGAAAAACGAATGACACTGTTTTGATTCGCTAGACTGAAAAACGGGTTTTTTGGGAGGAGGAGAAAAGAGCTGGTCAGGATTTGAAAATGAGAAGAAAGTGTTCAGAAAGGCCTGTATTGTCAGGCTCTATTAAAAAATTACTTTTTTCAGTGGGTTTAAACATTTGTTTACAAGATTTTGTTTACTTTTAGACTGTGGGGAAGGGGGATTGAGGGAGAGAAACATCAGTGTGTGGTTGCTTCTCATGGCCCCCCACTGGGGACCTGGCCCGCAACCCAGGCATGTGCCCTGACTGGGAATCAAACCAGCGACCCTTTGGTTTGCAGGCCAGCATTCAGTCCACTGAGCCACAGCAGCCAGGGTGGGTTTAAAAAACTTAAAACGATATGTTTACGGGTCTTAGAGAGAGAGGGAGGGAGGGAGAGAGAGAAACGTCACCCTGGCCGGGGACTGAAGCAGCAGCCCAGGCTCTCGCCGGGACTGGGGACCGGACGGCACTTCAGGCGGACGGGGCGACGCCCCAACCTGCTGAGCCGCCCGGCCAGGGCTTTCCCGGTGGATTCTGAAAGACAGCTTTCACACTTTCCAGTAGAGGTTCGGGGTTTTCAGAGGCGTGTTTTGAAGACCCCGTGTTTGGACAGACGAATGCACGCCTGTCGGGTGAACTTGCTGCGCCGGGTTCTGCGGAGGCGAAGCCCCTGGGGGCCATCTGGGCCCCCGAGCCGAGCTCCTCGGGGTGGGGGGGGCCGCAAGCTCGTTTTGCACTAAAGCAAGCACGGCGCGCTCTGCCACGCTCGCCCCTTGTGCTGTCTCTCGAGTAAAGTCTGTGCGACATAAAACTGGACACTTCGGTCGTTTCTAAGTGACAGTCAGTGGCGTTAGACGCGTTCACGCCGTTGTGAGGCCCTCACACCGTGGTCTCCAGAACCTCCCGCCTCCCCAGACGAGACTCTGTCCCCACTGGACACCGGTGACCCCCGTGCCGAACCTGCCGTTGCAGGGGCCCCCGTAAGTGGGGTCCGCTGCGGCATCTGCCCCGCGGGAACCGGCGGAGCTCCCGGAGCCCCAGGGCCCCATGGCCCGTCCCTGTCGGGGCAGACGCCGAGTGTCCCGTCCCGGGGGTGGGTCACGTCTCCAAGCCACTCACCCCCGACGGCACGCAGGCTGCCTCCGCCTGTGGGCCGTTGCCGGGGGCCACCCGATGCACGGGCGTGCAGACTGGCGCTGCCCTCGCCCGAGGCCCCGCTGCGGTGACTGTGCTCCCGCAGGGCCGCCCTGCGTGTGCGCGCCCTGGTGCTGGGGGCGTCCTGCGTGGGCGTGGGGGGCGGTTCCCGCGGAGCCCGCAGAGCTGACCGGGAGGCCGGCGGCTGGTGAGGGGTGCCCGCTGCGGGGTCAC